TCTTCTAACTCACCCACCACAAAGATGTATTTATTCATTTGTTCTGAAAAAAATCCTATTTTATTGATGTTCCTTCACTCTACAAATGTTGATTGAGCACCTACTGCCAAGCATTCATTACATTAAGTATTGGAGAAACACCAGTGAATGAAGGAGGCTTAATTCCTCCCCTCAGAAAACTCGGAGACCCCACCAGTGGAGAGAATGGGGCCTTGGATGGGGAAGACAGAGTGCTTCCTAGCACAAGTAACTTCTAAGCAGAAGTCTGGAAGGAGCAGGGGTTACCCCCATGAGGAGGAGGAAAGGAGTGTGCAAAACCCAGGGGGTGCTACAGCAAAGCCTGGAAGCAACACTTTTAAGACATTCAAGACTCTAGACTATTGAGCAGAAGGGGCCCTAAAATGAGATCTAAAGGTAAACTGAGACCAGAGGCTCCAATGTCTTGTAAACCATGTTAAGGAGTTTGCAAGCAATGGGCGCCTGGGTGGCTCAGTCGGTTAAGCTACTGCCTTCGGCTCAGGTCATGATCCTGGGGTCCTGGGATCGAGTCCCGCATCGGGCTCCCTGCTCGGCGGGGAGCCTGCTTCTCCCTCTCCCACTCCCCCTGCTTGTGTTCCCTCTCTCGCTGTGTCTCTCTCTGTCAAATAAGTAAATAAAAAATCTTTAAAAAAAAAAAAAAGGAGTTTGCGAGCAATCTACGAATGGTGAGGAACACTGACAGGTTTTCTGTAGCTGGATTACCATGATGAAATTTGCTTCATGGGATGAACTTTTTGGTTAAGAGCCTGGTTAAGTGGGTGTGTGTGGGGGGGTGGGATTACAATGACAAGTGTAGTGGCCAAATCTAGGAAAGTGGCCGTTGAGCCCAAGAGAAACCAGGAGTGGGCAGTGGAGGTGACTCTCCTGACTTTCTTTGGAAGAAGTTTGCTGTGAGGCGCACAGGGCTGAGGAGGCAGCTAGCTATCAAGGTCCAGAGCTCAGAACAGAGACCTGAGTTGAAAATAATTTAGGGAGGTTTCTTTGTATTATTTTCAGCGCTAAACCAAAAGACAGCATGAAAGCTTGCATTTTTGTTCCGTTCTAAGCAAACATGTTAGTTAGAACTACAAAGCTTCCTTGACTGATGGTCCTTGTACACGTGAGTAAATAAGATTTGGCTCCAGATAGCAATTACTACTGGCACCTATTTCTTTCATCTCATGAGACACAATGTAATTGTAAACATCAATCTAGACACCATAGACTTAGCAAAAAAAAAAAAAAAGTTTACTTTTTCCCTCTGGGGAAAAACTTAAGTTATTTTCCCTTTGTCCTTGTGAATGTCTTATCTGGCTTGCCAAGCCTCCTCATCAACCACATTTGTGAGAAACAGACAGGATCCTATCCCTGCTGTTTGTGGTGAAAGTACCCCCCCCCGAAAAGTGTGTTCATTTTTTTAAGCGTGTAAACTCTTTACAAGCGTGTTATTGTTTAATGAGCTAACATAGACTTCTCTGTAGTCAATAGCTTCATCTGTGCCCTCTACTTAAGAGTAACACCACAAAGGATACAGAGAATAGTTTGGCTTCCCTTGTAAGTTTCACTGGGCTAAATTAAAAGCTCCTTTGCACTGCTCAGACACACACTTACTGGGTATAATTTACCTTTCCTCTGCAGAGGGAATAAACATGCATTCCGGATTATCATTAATGTGTCCCAGAGTGGTGAGGAATAACTGCTTTTTGGTATTCTCTGGTGCAGGCTGTAGGATACATGACTTTATTAGATTCTTCTCTCATTTCAGGTCATAATATCAGCCACCTACTGTGTTTTCCATTAAGACTATGAACTTATACAGCACAGAGCCTATTTGAGATCTGATTACAGAATAAATAGGCTTTTTCTAAAGTACTTGAAGTTGTAATGTGGGTCTCTACAAAACTAATAGGCAAAGGTCTGCAGTGAAATTTTAAGAGAAGCCAAGCTCCTAGACAAAAACAAACAAACATGTTGCCGAAGAAAGGGGAGTTAAAATCTTGTTCATAAATGAGAGTAATTTCCCAGAACAAGCCATTCTTCTGGATTCCGTGTAGGTATCCTTCAGCTGTTGGCAGTCTTGGTTTATTTACCTTTTGCTTCCTTTTACTTGCTTATTACCTACACATTAAAATGTTCCAGGAACATCTTGCCATTTATCTTCAGTGATTATAACTCAATTCACTGCTTGAAGGATTTTTAACTCATTTATATTACATGAGATTCTGTCCAAATGGTAACAGTTATAAACAATATTAAAGTTGTAGAGATTTTTGACAAGGTATTGAGAAATTGAAATGATAATGATTATTCTTTTCAGTTCTCATTCAACTACACTGAAAAGATAGAGAGGTACTCATGTCCAGCCACTTATTTTTATCTCATATCCTAAGAAACTAGGCGGTTAACAAGAACTGTTTCTTATAAAAACGATTGAAGTGTGTTTTAAGCTTATATTAATCACTCTAACATTTGCCGCAATGATTACAATTGATTAATAGATCGATTTCCTAGTTGTCATCAGTGAAGCATAGGAGGGAGAAGAATCACGTAAATCTACCGATTTTCAACAAATTAATTTTAAGGAAATAAATATCTTTTCTAATGCTTCTATTGGTTGCTGTAGTAAAATTGAGAGGTTTAGGATTAAAACTTTTTTCCATTTCCCCTCTTTCTTTCTGCTGGAGGTAACAACATACCATCCAATAAGCAATTATGATCATACTGTTTGTATCAATTCACATAAATCATATTATTTATTGCATTGTCACGTGTGCCAGGCCCTCTCATCGCTCTCTCTTTTCTCTCTCCCCCTCTCTGCCACACACACACACACGCCTATAAAGCATATATGTCAGACACATAGTTCATGTTCTCATACAGTAACTATTATCATTACTCCATATGCTGATTGACATAATTTTCAGAGTACTACATAGGACTTTTTCCTTATATGAATTACCCATTAAACTATAACATAAAAATTCTGACACACTGTTGACAAAATGAGTCTAAACACACACATGTTTTGCATCAGTTTGTCTCTGATATGTAGCCCATCCGGTGTTTAACAGTCATATTCCCTTACATGATTTAATCTGTCCCACTTCTATATATATCTGTGAGGAGGAGGGAAATCGGAAGATAGGAGGTTCTGTTATATAGATTCTCCCCCTCACCACACTTCATGGCTCTCTCCCATAACTCAGAAACTTAACTTGTACAATGATATGGCTTGCCAGCAATGTGAAGAGACAGAGATCACGTTGGATGCCAATGATCAAGCCTCCATAATAATGTTAAAAGCCTTTGAAAAAACATACAGATGTGCCTGGTTTGGCCATCTGGTCAGAATAAGCATTTTCAGAGTTCTGTCTTCACCTTTGCCCCCTCCTTAGGTGTGAGAAATGTAAGGAATTTATTGGCCTGTATTTGAGGCCTGCCTTGACTAAGGTTAATAAGCTAACACCCTCATCTGTACACACACACTCACTTGCCCTAACACCGACCAAGTTGAAAGGATGAGAAGGAGGTGATGTATGCCCTGGGCAGATTTATCACCCCATGAACCAAAATAGGCAAACAAAATTTCCAAGGTTGGTTTTGTATTATCCAAGAGTTCAGGGGAACTGCATGCCTTTTATTATGCCCCCCCATATGGAAAAACAAAGAAAACATAATTTTCTAGTTTTAATAAAGGTAATTTATTTGGGTCAGAAAAATAAAGAATTTATGCTCAATTTAAACAGTGCGCAAAATGGATTGCCTTTGGTTGTAAGCCCTGATTGTAGGGTTTTGCTTGATTTTTGTGTGTTTAGTGATTCAGTTAGATGCTCTGAGACATGATGGTCATCTCTTTAAGGGTCTTGTGTTTGAAGAACATTGATGAGCTATATGACTCTTTGAGACTCAGTCCTTTTGAGTCTTGTGAAACCAGACAGAGATGACTATAAAGTCTCAAGTCAAAGGGCTATTATTCTGTGTCTACACTCAAATTAATTTATCCTTGTCAAGGTTTGGTTATAAAACAAACTCACAGTGGGTAAAAATATACTCTCTATATTATTTCTATGCTTTCTTATGGCCTATAAATATTTCAGAGTAAGTTTTTTTATAAGTCAGGCCACGAATTCTCTCTCAGTGTCCCTCGTTATTCAGCTGACTGCTACTGCCCCTGTGACTTGGCAGCTGTCTCACCAGGGAAACTGTCCGTCACAGGAGGAGTCAGAGTGACGATGATTGGATCAATTCATCACCACCAGTACCAGAGAAAAACAGAGTCTCCAAGACACATGTCCTGCCTTCATGACTAAGTCCCATCGTTTTCATACATGTTTAAGACAAATCCCTTGGTAGGAGCTTATTTCTCTAGTGGAATCTCAGTTGGCATTAGGCACCCCCCAAAACTCTACAGGTAACCTACAGTCATGTCCGGGTCTCCCCAAGGTCATCAGGACTGGTGATTATAGTTGTTTAGTCTAGTTATGCCAATAGGTGCTAACTCTGCAGTGGTTATTATAGACCCAAAGACGCTGGATTAAGGCCATATGTAACGGACCAGAAGATGTCCTCATACAAATAGTCTCCAGATGACGATACAATGAGCAGTCGGACCAAACTTACTGCATTTCAGCCTGTGTGTTTTGTTTCCTTTGGGGGACTATTTGGGGGACCAGCTCAACTGAACAGGAAGTACATTTAGAGCCACTTATAATCTCACAGATGGGGGACAAAGTAACTCAAGCCTCAAGACGAGAATGTCCCGCGAAGCACTTATCCATAAGTATTTTTGCTTTTCAGCAGAGGTCTTTTGACCTGAAAATTATATAAATCTACAGATTAAAGGGATGTTATCTTACTGAAAGGAGAAAATATGATAGAAGGGAGTCAGTAAAAGGAAGCTAACTCTACTCTGGAATTCCATCAGTCTGGCTTGATGCGGAAGAAAACAGTTAACCACCGGGGCACTGTTTCCTTCTTCCCAGAACCTGTCTTCTACTTTGGCAACGTCGAGTACCCCGTGGACGAGAGCGCCGGCTACGCAGAGGTGCGGGTGTGGAGAACAGGCACGGACCTATCCAGGTCTTCCAGTGTCACAGTCAGATCCCGGAAAACGGATCCTCCCTCTGCTGACGGTGAGCGGTTTCCTATGGCAGCTCTTTTGATCGTTCTCCTGGGTTGAGCTCACCTTGACGCAAAATACTTTAAAGCTAAACTACTTCACGTCTGTGAAAGTGGTCTGGATGAATGGAATTATTTTCTGAAATTATTATTATATCGTAGGTAAGTCTAGGCTCTATGTATTACTGTGAGAAAATACATTGAAAAGCCACAAATTGGAGGCTACGTTGCAAACGTGTAAGTCAATGACCCTAAATTCTAATGCCTGTATTTGCATGAATTTGGTTCTCTACACCTGAGTATTATGGCATTGGTATGCACAAGAATGTTCATGCTGGCCACCCTCACAGAAATCTAATGACGTGTAAGTGCCATGCAGATGTGCATCTCCAACTTGTTTCCCTCTTCATTTTAACCAGATGCTCCCATAAACACTTCAGAGCCAAAGGCTTTTTCCACACTTCATTATATAAGCTACCCTAGCCAGGAAGCACTTGCCTTTTATTCTGGGATTTACATCTCCGAAGAGTTGATCATAAAGTTTAGGGTAAGCATAGGATTAGAAATTTCCTTTTTTTTCTCTCCTAAATTGCCAACAATGCACCCTTTCTTTCTTATGTGCGCACACACATACATCATATGCCCATCACATACTTACCACACCAAGCAAACGGGGCCCATACCACGTAGTGGAACCAGCATGATGCTTTGCATGTAGTAAGTGTCCAATAAGCATTTGATTCACCAAATTAGTTATTTTTTAAGAAAAATTCAAATCAGAGAAAGAGGTGAGAATAAAGATGAAGAAGCAGAGGAAAAGAAAAATACAAGAAGAACCACAAAGAGATACAGATAGAGATTTTAAAAAATGAATTAAGGGCAGATACACTCATAGATGTATATTCAGAAGTAAAGAGAATATATATGAAATGAGAGTTAGAAGAACAGAAGGTATGAAAACAAAGAAGCAATAATATCAAACCCTTGTCACCCACTCCCAGTCTTTATGAATGTGGGGCCTAAAAATTGACAGACAGTTTTGTTTGTAACTACTTTAGACATAAATGGAGGTGTCAACATTAGGTTTGCATCCCATGGTCTGAAAAAATAAGCCAAAAATCAAATACGTCTTTGAGAATAAAGGATTGCTCTCCTTGCCTGGCGTGAGTGTGGGCGGATCGTGTGGGACAAAAGCTTATACCTGAAATGTGTTTCTTTAGCCAACAGGCAAACACACACCTAAATAGGATATTCTCTTGTAGCTTTGGAAAATAAATACAGATATTTAACTGATGTTAACAAAATTTAAATGTATATATTTTATAGGCCATTTATGATGATCACATATATGATTCATGTGCTGATTATTTCAGACGTGATTTTTATTAGCTCCCTTCAAGAATTCCAAAATAAAGATAGAGGGATTATATAACCAAAGCTAAACTAACTCATTAGATGTAAATAAAATAAAGTTTCAGATGGTAGACCTTTGTTCTACCATCTTGAAAACCAGTATGATACTAATCCTTTGCATTTCACTGAATGTATTTTTCTGTAATGTTATACTGGTCTCTATATTTTTTTTAAAAAGAATCATAAATAGATCTATATAATTTGCTTCTCATAATTTAGTTTAGTCAGTCCCCAACTGAATAATTCTTTTGTTATGTGTATAGCTGGAACAGACTATGTGGGAATCAGTCGGAATTTAGATTTTGCACCTGGAGTCAACATGCAGACTGTTCGTGTTATCATCCTGGATGACCTTGGGCAACCGGTGCTGGAGGGAATTGAGAAATTTGAACTAGTGCTTCGTATGCCTATGAATGCTGCCCTCGGCGAGCCCAGCAAAGCCACAGTGTCCATAAATGATTCTGTCTCGGATTGTGAGTGTTTATTCATTTACAATGATAATTACATTCATAGGCTATTTATATACAGATTAAGTAAAATGATGACCTGCGGTTTATATATGTATATAAGTTTGCTAGGGCTGCCATAAAAAGTCCTATGGACTCAGAAATTCTCGTCTCACAGTGCTGGAGGCTAGAAGTCCAAAGTCAAGGTGTCGGCAGGGTTGGTTCCTTCTGAGGGCTGCATGGGAAGGATCTGTTCCACGCCTTTGTTTTTGACTTGTAGATACCCATCTTGTCCCTATGGGTCTTTATATCTTCTGTGTGTGTCACAGTGTCTAAACTTCCCCTATTTATAAAGACAGCAGTTCTATTAAGTTAGGGCCCACTCTAAGGACCTCATTTTTACTTGATTACCTCAAAAAAGACCATAGCCTCAAACAAGGTCACATTTTCAGGTTGTGGGGGTTAGGACTTTAATCTATGAATTTGGAGGGGAAGCAATTCAACCCATAACAATACCCTGTCTGACCACGTCTTCATTTGTCCTTCTGACCATTTTGATAAAATTAGGCAGTCCTTTCAAATTAATAAAAAAAAAAAAGTGAGCTTGCCAGCAATATCTTGATTGTGTCTCAAGAGTTCCCTCACCACAATTTGAGAAATGAGACAGAGGATCATAAGGGAAGGGAGGGAAAAATGAAACAAGACGAAACCAGAGAGGGAGACAAACCATAAGAGACTCTTAATCTCAGGAAACAAACTGAGGGTTGCTGGAGTGTTAGGGGGTGGGAGGGATGGGGTGGCTGGGTGATGGACATTGGGGAGGGTATGTGCTATGGTGAGCGCTGTAAATTATGTAAGACTGAGGAATCACAGACCTGTACCCCTGAAAAATACAGACCTGTGCCCCTGAAAAGTAATACATCATATGTTAATAAAAAAAAATTTTTTTTAATAAAAATACAATAATGGGGGGGAGGGGAAGAATTCCCTCACCATAGATAGGTGGAGCCAACCACATGTAATGGTCTTTTTCCACTTCTCAACACAAGACTTTCTGTCATCTCCTTACACCCAGACACTCCTGAAATTTCCCTAATAAGATGCCGAAAACATAGTTGTAAGACAAGCAGCTGCTGGATACGTGGGAGGGCTCTCTGACACATCCTCAGAAGGAATTCTGAATAATTTTCAAACATGATGATCTTGACATTGCTTGGGAGAGTGTAACCTATTGTTAATGAGACCTATTTACCCATCATCGGTATCACTTAAATACAGACATAATATGCATTGTCAAAAATATTTTATATATATATTTACATTATGTATATATAATACTATATTCATTATCAAATTTTCTAACATGGTCTGGGTAAAGTATGCTTCTAACTGTGTGCACAATATTGAGTGTTATTTGGAAATAATTCAGAAATTATTCAGAAATTTCAGAAATTCTGAAAAGCTCATGATTAAGCAACACATATAGATACAGATATCTTAAAGTCTCTGGTTTTATCTACTTTTTCGCATTTCACTGCATCTGCCTACTCCATGAAATAGAGCAGAATTTCAAAGAGAAGAAAATCAAAACAATTCATTTAAGTGATTGCTTAAGGCCAAAACATTGTCAAGTGACTGGGGTGGAAACAGGAATCCAATTTTCATTTCTGTTCCATTATTCTTTCCACTAAACCTTGCTTTCTGAAATGCCATTTTCCTTAAGGAAATTTCCGTTCACCTTGATCCATATGTTTCTTTGCTTTGCAGTGCCTAAGATGCAATTCAAAGAACGAGTATATACTGGCAATGAAAATGACGGGCAGATAGTTGCAATGATCCACAGGAGCGGAGACGTTCACTACAGGTCTTCAGTGAGATGTTACACCCGGCAGGGGTCTGCGCAGGTGATGACGGACTTTGAGGAACGTCCAAACACTGGTAGTTCCATCATCACATTTCTCCCTGGTAAGGTGGAGCTTGAAATTTTTATTTGGCATTTGAGGAAGCCAAGTTGTTGATGAGAAATATCAGGAAAAGACACCTTCTTGACCTCAACAAGCTTATGATGTGATTTTGTGTACACTATGTGATAATAAGGTGAAGTCGATTGTAACAGATTGAATCAGTGTCTTTTTGGTGTCTGTACCAATTTATGAATTAATTTCCAGTGATGTGCTGTATTGTTCATTCAAAACAAATTTGGTGGTATAACAAATATGTAGATTTCACAATGCTGGAAGATAGTGTTCAAATGAGAGAAATGAAAGGAAATAGAGATCACAGTTTTAATATGAATTCAGAGCCTTAAAATGTTCAATCGCTGTGATCCTGTAATTGTACTAGAAACTAATCCTGTAGTCAGACTAACTCTGATTGTCCCGTACAAGGTGGACAAATTTGCTTCTTAATCATAATGCTAGAAATTCATACATAAAATTGGTATTTGCTCTTTATCCCTTGTTTTCTAAGATGACTTACAGAACTTAAAAACAGACACTGGAGAAATTTGCCACACAGATAGGGGCTCTCATTGCGTATGTTCAAACATTTAGTCATTCATTCAGCAAATATTTATTGGAGGCTTATTACACACCAGATACTCTTCTTTGCCCTCTCAGTACAGCAGGGAAAAAGACAACATCCATGCCCTGTGGTGCTTATATTCTAGTAGCCCAGGTATGCTTTGGGGCCTGAGATGTGATTGGGATGTCATGATGGGATGGAACTGACGTGCTGTCATTATCACTGCTCCAGGTGAGACCGAAAAGCCTTGTGTCCTTGAGCTGATGGACGACACACTCTATGAGGAGGTAGAGGAGCTCCGCCTGGTTCTTGGCACCCCACAAAGCGACTCCCCCTTTGGGGCTGCAGTTGGGGAACAGAATGAAACTCTGATAAGGATCCAAGATGATGCTGATAGTAAGAAGTTATTTCTTGTCCTCGCCTGTAAATTGGGAATTGAAACCCATCTATGTTAACGTTTTAGGAGGCTCAGAAAATAACCCCCTCTTTCTGACAAGGGTTTTAAAGCAATTGAGAAATAGTAAAAAAGACTAAGATAAATGGGGAACCAAATAAAACATGAAAATCGGAAGTCAATGCTGGAGAATGTGCTTTATGTCTAATGTTAAATCCCACATGTTCATACCTCCGGTAGGGTAGAGATACCCCCGGGCCAGCAGTTTCTCTCTCCCCTCCCGCTCTCAGGGACCCACTTCTATAAGACTTATGGCACATAGAGGCTGCCCGGGGTGCATGCTTCCTTGATTCCCAAGGAAGGAACTGGATGATACACACTCAGTTTCTCCTAACCCACTCACCGATAATGATGGGTGAGGGGACAGAGAGAAGCCATGAGTGTAATACTAATTCAGTTCCCCTCATGTGGAAAGAAACATTAGAAATGAAGAAAAAGCATTTCCTTTACATTTTAATTTGTCCACGTTTCCCACAATTTTAGAGACTGTTATTAAATTTGGAGAAACCAAATTTAGCATCAGTGAACCCAAAGAACCGGGACAGTCGGTGGTTGTAAAAATTCCAGTGATTCGCCAAGGAGATACTTCAAAGGTTTCCATCGTGAGAGTCCACACCAAGGATGGCTCCGCCACCTCTGGAAAAGACTATCACCCTGTGTCAGAAGGTAGGGGAGTTCCCGGGGCCTTCCCCCATGGGGGTTGACGCTCACACTCTGCACTAACACTGGTGCCCTTGAGAAAAAGAAGAGAAATATCCAACTGAAATAAAAATAGGCATACTCCTTTACGTTAATCTCTATCAGAAAAATAATGGCAGTAGAATTTAGTTCCAGAATTTTCCTTTTTGACTTACGGGGTTTATGCATGAGCATTTAGGGAAATTTTGAGTAGACTAGATGACCTTCTGTTCTGAGTCTACTTTTACTTTTAATAGGTTTTACCTTCATTATGGTAATCGGATACTAAATAATATCTATTCTAGAATATTCTAGTACACTGAAAATATGCATGGTCCTGAGATAGCGTTTTAGTCTATGGAACACCAATGATCTAAAACTTCAAGGTAGAAAATTTTGTGTTAATGGAGGGCAGGAAAAGGCTGGTGGAATGCCACCCAAAAAGACTATGAATTTTCTGGGCCTTAGGATTTCATTATAGGTGCTTTTCATCCATCCCCCCCTCCTTCAAATTTTTGGACCATTTCACCATTTATTTTTATGAGGAATTAATACAAGTCAGTTCTTCTCTCTCTCTGAATTACCTGCTGACAGAATAGATGTAAATTGATGTGCAAAGTTAAGTTTATAAATTATGTAGAGTTCTACTTATCCACTTTGTGTCTAGTTTCCTACTTCTTACTACCAACAATCTTTAGTTCTTGATCGTAGAGCTTCAGGCATTCATCTTGATCTCTAAACTTGTGAAAGACAAAGTTTAGAAAGTGATGGATAGGTTTTACTAAGTCCGTAATAAAGTTGATGAGACAAGAGAAGAAAAAAAAACATCTTCTGCAAAGGAGCTTGTTTCCTTTGCATCTATGGTAAAAAGTTTGACTACTGTAGAGCTTCAAAGTTATCCTCAGATTATTCTCTATGCAGATAATGATAATATATTTGAAATAAATCACATATAATCCAAAAGGAGAGGAAAAAACACTGATTAGCTACTAAATTAGAAAAATCTAAAATAAGTCTTTCTCTAATGAGCAAGAGCAGGTTTTACATGAAGGAAACATCTTCTGAAGATGGGCAATATGACCTTTAAGAGAAAATGTTTTTCTTAGAAACAAAATAATTCTTTTTGTTGAAGCACAAATAAAAATTATACCTCTGTGGTAAACTGACCAATGAAGTCAGGGAAAGGTTAAATGACAGTAAATCAGCCCGTGTCTCTTTTATCCCATAAATGTAAACATGCTGTTGATAACGCTCATGATAAAAATGTAATCTCTTCTGACCCATATTCCAATTTCTCCCTTATGGTCAAAATTGAGGTCAGTCCCTTACAAATAAACAGAAATAATAAAGATAGAAGAAAACTTAATATATTTTTTGTGCTAAGAATATCTAAAATGACAGATAAAGACTAAAGTAATTGAGGAAGCTTAACTGTATATCATCTAGCATGTATACTGTAAGAAAACAACAATTTAAATATTTAAGGGGCGCCTGGGTGGCTCAGTCCATTGAGCACTGAGCGTCTGACTCTTGGTTTTGGCTCAGGTCATGATCTCAGGGTCCTGGGATCAAGCCAGGAGTTGGGCTCCTCGCTCAGTGGGGTGACAAGGAGACACCCCACCGCCCTCATGCTCTAGCTCTCTCTCTCACATAAAGAAATTAAGTCTTTAGTAAATAAATAGATATTTAAAATCAATACTTAAGCTCTTAACTTCTTAGAAATTGGGTTTCTGGGTGCCTGGGTGGCTCAGTTGGTTGAGCGACTGCCTTCGGCTCAGGTCATGATCCTGGAGTCCCGGGATCGAGTCCCACATCGGGCTCCCTGCTCGGCGGGGGGTCTGCTTCTCCCTCTGACCCTCCCCCCTCTCATGTGCTCTCTCTCTCTCATTCTCTCTCTCAAATAAATAAATAAAATCTTAAAAAAAAAAAAAGAAATTGGGTTTCTATCATTCTGGGGATTACAACACTTGAACTCACAGGGCTAAAACAAGCAATGAATGAGGGAAATAGGAGCGGAAGGTGACGAGATGGGAACGTTACTGAACCAGAAAGTCCATTCCCTGCTGAGAAAAGCCTGTGCTGCCGTAGTCAGCTGCATGTGGCCAGACAGGAAAGAACTAGAGAACTTTAATAAAACCTGCGCTTTCCTATGAAGCCCCCAGGTATTCTTGGTTTTAGCGACTAATATTCTTCGGGTTTCATTTTTTATTTTTTTTAAGAGGGAGAGAGTGCACGAATGGGGAGGAGAGGCAGAGGAGAGAGCGAATCTTAAGCAGACTTCATGCCTAGCGCAGAGCCCAGCACTGGGCTCAGTCTCACGACCCCAAGATCATGACCTGAGCCGAAATCAAGAGTCAGACGCTTAACCGACTGAGCCACCCAGGTAGCCCTAGGAACTAATTTTTTTAAAAAAGATTTTATTTATTTATTTGAGAGAGAGAATGAGATAGAGAGAGAGAGAGCATGGGGGGGGAGGGTCAGAGGGAGAAGCAGGCTCCCCGCTGAGCAGGGAGCCTGATGCGGGACTCGATCCCGGGACTCCAGGCTCATGACCTGAGCCGAAGGCAGTCGCTTAACCAACTGAGCCACCCAGGCACCCTAGGAACTAATTTTCTAATGCAAGGTCACACAAGTCAGACCCAACAAATTGGTGGGCTGGAGATGATCAGCTGTTTTCACTCTCTGATACAAGAACCCTAAATTCTCTCAGGGTATGAGAAATCTAAGACTAATAGACGCCAGGAACACACTAGGGCTAATATAGAAAATGGCTATATCTAGAAAGAGGACTCATTTTATTTATTTTTTATTTTTGTTTAAAGATTTTATTTATTCATTTGACTGAGAGAGACACAGCCAGAGAAGGAACACAAGCAGGGGGAGTGGAAGAGGGAGAAGCAGGCTTCCTGCCGAGCAGGGAGCCCGATGCAGGGCTCAATCCCAGGACCCTGGGATCATGACCTGAGCCCAAGGCAGACGCTTAATGACTGAGCCACCCAGGGGCTCCCAGAACTCATTTTAAAGAGGAATCTGGCTTACTCAATTTTAAAGAAAAAAATCTTTTTCATAATTGACAAAAAAATAGAAGTAGCAGAAGAAAAACACACTAGAGACACATTTTCTTCTGCCACATTTTAGAGGATTTATAATTTAGAATTAAAATGATTGAACTCCAATTACATCAGAAACAACATCTGCTGTCTTCTCTAATTAGAACAATTATGCATTATATTTTTTTAATTTTTCTTCTGAGCCAGTTTCTCAAGAGGTATAGTAAAACCAACAAAATAGTTTATCCAAGTCTCATGGTATGGGCAGCTGCTGACTCTTGAGTTCAATAAAATCAATTAATTTTTAATGTTTTAAGACTTTTGAAATGAATCGTTTAAAAAAAGGGATTTTCATAATTGAGTTTAATTTTCATTATAATGAAGCACATTTTTTTAGTGAGGAGAAACAGGATTAAGGGAAGCATAGCATTCACATTTATTGAAAAAAGGTTTTAAGTTTCCAAGATTAACATCAACAACAAAAAAGTCTTTTTAAAATATAATTTGATATAATATTAAAAAGCTCAACAATTTTATATCCACCTTTAATTACCCATATATATACATAATGCAAATGCCGTTCACACTTCATAATACCTCCAATTGTAGTCACCTGCCTTGTGTCCTATAGATTCAGAAATTTTGGAAATGAGAGGCCTGTTTATCTGGTTATGCCTCAGTATTAGAACTATTGATCTGTTCCACAACTCACTGTTTTTTCTGTCAGTCAGCAAATCAGTTTAGTAGCTTCTGATTAGAATTTTCTTCAGATGAAATGGAATAGAATGGAAAATATTCAGATACAAAGCATACAGTAAAAATAGGTGATGTTTTTCAAACTCGTGATTCCATTTTATTCACACGCACACACGCACGCATGCATACACAAATATACTGGGCCACAGTGTACAATATTTTCCTTATTTTGAGTCACTGTCAAGAAAGCTTGACAAAAATTTCACGTATTCCTATGTAAAACACTTAAATCTGTGATTTTTGCATTTGTAGAAATTGAGTTTAAGGAGGGAGAAACCCAGCATACTGTTAACATTGAAGTAATCTTCGACGGGATCAGAGAGATGAGAGAGGCCTTCACTGTTCATCTAAAACCCGATGAGAACATGGTAGCAGAGACGCAGGTACGTGCTAAGATATGGATAGAAATTCAGGGCCAGCTGGGGTGCCTGGGCGGTTAAGCGTCTGCCTTCGGCTCAGGTCATGATCTCAGGGTCCTGGGATCAAGCCCCACATTAGGCTCTCTGCTCAGCGGGGAGTCTGCTTCTCCCTCTCCCTCTGTGCTCCCCTCCCCCTCTCTCAAATGAATAATAAAATCTTAAAAAAAAAATTCAGGCCCAGCATTTTAATTGGGGAAAATGCATATAAGCATCACATAGTGTACAATAGACTACTGGGATTTTGTGCAAGCCTTTATAAAGGAGATATGCATAATCCCTTTTTCATCTCATAAATTTTGTTCCTATTACTCTTCCTTTGAAAAATCATGTGTATAGAAACTCAGGGACTAGAGTCACTGAGCCCCACGTCAGCCCACTTAGTTTTCTCATTTCAGTTGGCAACCACTGAATTTGAGATTCATTTCCAGAGAGAAGGCATCATCTGGACACAAAGATGAGGCTATGAATTCAGGGCTACTGCTCATTAAAACATACATTTTAATCCACAACACAGTTTGCTAACCCTCAGAATTCCCACTGCTAGTCTTAGTTTTATCAATTTGATGTCCAGAGCCTCAGGGACCAAATGTTATGGTCCTAATACTGATGTTCTGTACTTATTAAATTTATATTGTGTCATCAACCAGATTTTCTTCAAGGTAAACATTTTCCACAGAATTTTGACCTTTAAACATTAAGTAATTTTTAAAACTAAATAATTTTAGGCACAGACCAATGTTTATTATATCTATGCTTAAATTTACTCTAGTTCTTTTATTATTTGTTTTACTATTAGTACGAGATCAAATTGGGGAAATTTTTTTCCCTTAAGTATTTCTTATCTCTGCTACAGTGCCTTACCTTTTTTTTTTTTAAGTCATATTTAAAATTCAAGAAGTATGGGCAGAAAACCTTTAACACACATATTTTTTATAAGTCTTGATCACATTAAAAATGATTCTTTTAGTGTTACTTTTATAGAGCACTCTGTTAAACTTGGGGTGAAAGGAACAGAGATTCATTGAAATTGCTTCAAGTGATAACAGCTTTTTACAAATGCAAGTAGATACAGACTTGGAAACTGTGATATATAAGATATTGGAAGGTTATTCAGGAGCTAAGACAAATTTATCAGCAAGGTGTCTTGGCACCTTACCAATGGATGTGCCTAGACTCCTCTCCTGTCTGTCACTCAGTGTCTCACTCTGCCTGGGTTTCAGGCTTTTCTTCTGGTCTCTGCTCACTTATTTTTTTTTAATTTGTATTTAAAGCCAATTTAGTTAACATATAGTGCATTATTCATTTCAGGAGTAGAATTTAGTGACTCATCAGTTGCATATAACACCCAGTGCTCATTACATCAAGTGCCCTCCTTAGTGGTCTCTGCTCACTGAGAGCCTTGATTTTCGCCGGCATCCCCGTCAGCATGGCTATGCTATCACATGACCCCTAGGATCTGCTTTTTCTCAGCCTATCACTCAGCATTCCTCTCCCTAGCAACTAGCTGGCTTTTTCATGGATCTTCCATGCCATAACCCAAGACAGATTCAGCCACTATCCTCACAATCTGGAGAAAAAAATAGAACCCAAATACCTCGTGGGCCACTGGCCAACCCAGGCTGCCCTGGGCTCATGTACCGTCCCCAGGTGCCATAAGACATGGCCAAGGTGTCAGGGTCACCTAGAACAAACCACAAAAGGCCTGTCGCCCTGCTGGGGCTCTGCATGTGACAGTTTTCCTCGTAATGAAGCCAGGGGCTTGTCAAGCATCATGTGTATCATACTATACAATAGACGCTCCTAGATCCAAGTACTTCAATAATCACAGATAATTATCTTTTCCTTGTAGGTGACCAAAGCCATTGTGTATATAGAAGAAATGAACAGCATGGCAGATGTCACTTTTCCTTCTGTCCCTCAAATTGTGTCATTATTGATGTACGATGACACTTCCAGAGCTAGAGATAGTGCTGGACCCGTGTCTGGCTATCCTGTTGTCTGTATCACGGTGAGTAGGAAATTGACAAAATCGAGAAAAATTGTAGAATAGCTGGTTAAAATAATTACAGATGTTAACCGATACAGCATTGGCTTTGCCATGAAGAAGGGAAAGTGGGAATACTACAAGGTATAAGCTTTGAACTTTGGGATAGGAAAATATCACATTAATCAAATAAAGCTCCCATTTTTCTTCCTTATCCGACAGAGGTTTATTAACTGATGTGTACACAGTGTGTTATCTTGTGTTATCTCAGGGTCTGCCATTGATAGGAAAATAAATAAGGGTTGAACTCTGTACTCAAGGAACTTAAAAATAAGGAAGAGAAAAATATATAGGAATCAGTCACTCGACCAGAGGGCAAGATGTGATCACTACCATGAGGAGGTCATCAGCCAGCTAGAGATACAGCTCCATGTGTGAGGCAAGACTTGGGCTGCTTAAGTGGAATTTCAGCAGTTTAAGATAAGAGTCAGACAAGGGGAGGCCGTTCCAGGAAGAAGTGATTACAACACAAGCGACATCTAGAGGAATAGTATTAAAAAATGGCATATTGTTACTACTTTTGTACTTGCCTTTTCTTGACTTTAAATTCTAAGTTCCTTGTGAGCAAAACTGGGAGGTACTTATTTTTATATAACAACAGCCCTGGTATCATGACCTATGTCTAATAGGCACATAACAAATGTTTACTGAATTAACAAGGCAGAAATAGTAATTTGGTGCCCAAGTTATAGAGGTCTTTACATGTGATGTTAAAGACTGTGGGCTTCATTGGTGGGGTAGCAGGGGGGTTCTTGGGCAGAAGCATGGTGTGAGAAGAGGGGGTGTCACCTCGCAGCAGTGTGTCCCTTGACTAGAAAGACCCCGAATGAGATGAGAGGTGGTGCTGTGAATGGGAAGGAAGGCACCCACTTGAACATTGCAAAAGAAGAATCAGCCAAAGTCACTGACCTACTTGGGGGGCAAGGTGTGAGAGAAGAGGGAAGAAGGGAGGGAGGGAGAAAAACAAGAATGATTTGGGATCTCGGAGATTCCTGAGATGATGCAGAGAATAACAAGTTTACACGCATCAAGTTAGAGTGGAATTGTGCAGGAGGCCGCTTGAAATCAGAGTCCATGAACGCTGTTAGGGCTAGAATAGAAACGTGAAGGTTGCGGGTGCCTGGGTGGCTCAGTTGGTTAAGCGACTGCCTTCGGCTCAGGTCATGATCCCGGAATCCTGGGATGGAGTCCCACATTGAGCTCCCTGCTCAGCGGGGAGCCTGCTTCTCCCTCTGACCCTCTCCCCTCTCATGCTGTTCCTCTCTCTCTCTCTCTCTCAAATAAATAAATAAAATCTTAAAAAAAAAGGTTGCATGAATAGCATGTAGCAATGGAAAAAAGCATCAGGGAAAGCACTAGGCTAGAGAGCTTGAGAGTCATAACATCCACATTGTTCTGTACTGTGGTCCTGACAGTTATTTGTTTCCCGTAGGCTTGCAACCCTAAATACTCAGACTATGACAAAACAGGCTCTATTTGTGTAAGTGAGAACATCAATGACACCTTGACCCGGTACCGATGGCTAACTAGCGCACCCGCTGGCCCTGATGGCGTCACCAGCCCTATGAGAGAAGTGGACTTTGACACTTTTTTTACATCATCCAAGATGATCACCTTGGATTCCATATACTTCCAGCCCGGCTCCAGGGTGCAGTGTGCGGCCCGCGCTGTGAATGCCAATGGCAAGGAGGGCCTGGAGCTGATGAGCCCTATTGTCACCGTCGGCAGAGAAGAAGGTAATGCGCCACCATTTTCACATGAAGACCGCTGGAATACCATGGAATATTATCAATATCTGATCTCTGGTTATTAGTTCTCCCAAATGCCTCCATGTATTCCTTAATATTCATCAAGTACTTAAAAAATGACATCCACTTTTACAAAAATATTCATTAGAAAATATTTATTCATTCCACTTTTTTTTTTTTTTGATCACCTGTTACATGCCAGACTTTAAGCTTTCTGCTGGCACTCAGAAAAAGGAAGCAAGACTCTTGTTCTCAATGAGTTCACACTCAAGATGAGGACACAGATAAATTTTAGTCTGGACAAGACACAGTGAATGTGATTAGTTCTATCCTGAGTGGGTCAGGAAGCAGGAGTCTTGAAAACAGCAGAGAAAAACAAAAGCATGAGCAATGACTCATAGAAGCATGAAAGAACATGCAATATTCTGGAAACTACAAGCAGAGAAATGGGGAAGCAGGTGAGAGGGAGAGTGGAGAAGAGATGAAGCAGGATGGTATGCAAAGGTCAGATCTGGACAACGTGGCTCCTATGTGATGAGTTGGTTGTCGCAGCAGTAGGAATTTGCTGGGGACGGGGACAGAGGAATGACAGTGCAGGTGGAAAAGTATCCACAAGTGCCCACAGCTTGTGATTTTAAGGGAGATTGTGCCCGGGGCTGGAGCCCAGACACATGGCGGGTGGAGAATAGAATGTAGCTGGAGCAACACTGAAAAGACAAGAAATCCAAACTCATCCTTCAGTCTGCCTGAGAACTTTTAAGTTAGATTTTAAAAATAACAGTCTGTTTTTAAGATTCTATTTTTAAAACTTTATCTGCATACTGTGGTTCAGAAGTATATTTGTTGCATAAAGAAAGGTTATATGTACCACCTTCATACACTCAGGATGAATATTTATTGATACCGTATATAGTAAACATGCTCTTTTGTTAGGATTAAAATACATGGTTGTTAAGTTTCTCTTAAGACCAAACTATTATGTTGGTACCAAAAGGAAAAAAAATCAAACAACGCCTTAAAATGAGTGCCCCTATTAATAAAATAGCCCAGATGCTGGAGCCTGCCTCTGATTTTATTGCTATTCTAATAAGTACTTGTTTATTTCCTTTGTTTTGTACAAACAGAAAAGAGATTATATACTGCCTAGTGCTCTTAAAATTATAAACCAGCATCTTAGTCCCTTTCATAATATTAAAATGAAAACATCACAATTCTTTTAAAGGAAGTATTGGGGCAGATTTTCATGTCAAAATGCTTGAGAGTCACTAAGAGATAGATAGATGGTAGCCAGAAAATGATCTTATCATGTGTTTCAATATGTATATGGGTATATCAGTATCAATATGTTTTGTATCAATATGCATATTATAAATTAAAATTTATAATACACGTACTGAAAGAAGTTACATATAGAGAGAAAACTCTACTGTATATAGTTCTCTGATTCTAAGGAGACTTTAGTTTTTGTTTTAAAAATGAGCGCATTTTTAGTTTATTTGATTATAAATAATTATACTTCATGACTAGTCATGCACATTATTCTAGAATAAGCACCAATTCACTTAATTAAACCATAGGTAACTTTTTTCCTGCTGGCTTTTAGTCCTTTTTTACTGTGTCTGTCCACATTTTATATTAGAACGTTTTGCAAATATGATTATAACCTAGAATGTCCAGCGCATATTAAAGTACATTGAACAATAACTGTTATTTCTCAAACTTTATAAACTACCTGAAATGTGAAGAAGTAGCTACTAAACTGTCTGCTGCACTTACTTCTCATGCCAGGGCCTTTGGCTTTTTTACAGCTGCTCTAAGCAATGCCTTAGTCCACAGAGAAGTTTTAATTTTATTGTTTAAAAAACTATAGTGCCCAGGGGCGCCTGGGTGGCTCAGTCGTTAAGCGTCTCCCTTCGGCTCAGGTCGTGATCCCAAGGTCCTGGGATCGAGCCCCGCATCGGGCTCCCTGCTCCGCGGGAAGCCTGCTTCTCCCTCTCTCCCACTCCCCCTGCTTGTGTTCCCTCTCTCGCTGTGTCTCTCTCTGTCGAATAAATAAAATCTTAAAAAAAAAAAATGATAGTGCCTAGCTTAAAAATATTCTTTCGGCATTGTCTATTACGTTCCTTGAGCATAAGTACGTTCGTTTTTCCCTGAGGTCTGTGTCAGCCCCGGGTGCCGGGGGCAGTGGGGGCAGAGCCGTTCTCAGCCAAGCTGCGCTACACGGGCCCCGAGGACCCAGACTACACAAACCTTATCAAGCTCACGGTCACGATGCCACATATAGATGGTAGGTGGCTTGGGTAAGCAAATCCATGGGAGTGGTGTGGGCTCCTCATTACCTGGTTTATGCCACTGAATACCCGAAATCACCACGCAGATGATAAGATGTTCATTTTGCAATGTCACCTTCAAGTCTTTCTGTTCCTTTCAAGTGATTCTGCTTTCTTTCCATCCTGTTTTTAAAGTCTGACAACTTAAGCCTTCTTTAATATTAAACAAATTTAATACATTGTCCAAACACGATGGAACGAAACTTTGGTCCATGTGCTAGTTTTTATGAAATGGTATGACTGTGTCTTTAAAACTCTTGAACTTGGACTTCCAGTAAAGCATTTCAGTATCTCATTGAGCACCTTCAACATGTATTTGCTATTTCATAGCTGGAATTTTATAAATCCAATTTATAAATTGTGTTCATTTTCTCCAGATAGGAAAGTGTGGCCAGAATCTGTGAGTTGATAACTTTATCCACACTGTCAACATTTCCCCAAGTACAGAAAACATCTTCAAGTTCTGTTCTTCTCAATTGACTTTATACCTAAATTGTTAATATTAACTTTATTACTTGGTAGTTAGTTATATTTTAAGTAGCTAAGTGAGAAGAAACATGAGGCAGTATTAGGAATGATACGGTAGAATTTATCTTTCTCAGAAAAAAGATATAATTCTGCTTTTTATGCTTATTGCAAACCCAAATTTGTGTTGGTGGGAGGTGGGTGGACAGGAATCTGCACCTCTTTACAGCATAATGTGGGTCTCACATATGGCCAGCCTATCTCTAGACTCATGTTGGAGGTGTGACTCAGAGGTGCAAAGGGCCAAAGGGGGATCCATCAGCAAAGGGCCAAAGGGGGACCCATCAACAGAGCCTAATAGAAAGACTGGTCCCTCATGCTATTCCTACAGCTGACTTTGCATTGCCTGACGTGGTCAATAGACACAGCTCCGCCAGAGCATGGCAGAAGCTGACCAGTTCTTTTGTGAGGCCAGGGTTTTGCTCTGGGAGAATCTGAGAATAAGAGGAGGGAGATGTTCCAGGAGAACACCTCTCTCGTGGTCCTTTTTGTTGCATTGCCCATGCCAGAGCTCGACAAACTCTGGCCTCTGTGCCAAATCCAGCTTACTTGCCTGCTTTCATATGATCTTGCAAGCTAAAAAATGGTTTTTGTGTTTTCAAATGTTTAGAAAAAAAACAAAAGAAGAATATTTCGTGGAACATGAAAATTATACGAAATCATAATCCATTGTGCATGATAAAGTCTTATTGCACAGTTATATGAATTATTCTGCATGTCATCTGTGACAGCTTTCAGTCTAACATGGAGCATTGAGCAGCTGAGACACAGACCTTATGGCCCACAAGTCCTAAAATATTTACCATTTGACCTTTTAGCCAAGAAGTTTGCCAAACCATAGCTTATACTGTATAGTGGTAGTTTTCAAACATTTTGGTGTCAGGACATCCTTACAAATTATTTAGGATCTCAAAGACCTATGGTTTTTATGAGTTATATCTATAAATATGAACTGGATTTAAAATTAAAACTGAGGAATTATTAAATACTTATTTTTTTGTTCATTTAAAAATAACCAATCCATCACATATTTACAAGAAAAACATACTTTAAAGAAAAATAGCTATAACTTATAAATAAAAAAAATTGTGTTTTTCTTACATTTTTGGAAATACCTTTAATGTCTGGCTTCATAAAAGACAGCTGAATTCTTTTATCTACCTCTGCGTTCAATCTATGGCAATATATGACGACTCTCAAAAACTCCACTATACTGAGAGAATAATGGTGGAAAAGTCAAATATGTCTTAGAATCATTATGAAACTAACTTTAATGTCACAGATCTCCTGAAAAATGCCAGGGGACCCCTGGGACACCACGTCGGTAGTAATCACCGCTGTACAGCATTTTATAACACTTGTCTTCTTGAGGGTAAAGGAATGATAAGTGTTCTAAATCCTTTGCTGGTGACGATGGCAACATGATCACCATTCCTTGCAGGCATGCTCCCTGTGATCTCCACTAAAGAGCTTTCCAACTTTGAGCTCACCCTCAGTCCTGATGGCTCAAGAGTTGGAAACCACCAGTGCTCCAACCTTCTGGATTACACTGAAGTGAAGACTCACCATGGTTTCTTAACTGATGCTACAAAAAATCCAGAAGTAATTGGAGAGACGCATCCCTACCAGTACAGCTCATCTATCAGAGGCACTAGTACATTACGCTTCTATCGAAACCTGAACCTAGAGGCCTGTTTGTGGGAGTTTGTTGGCTACTATGACATGTCAGAACTCCTCACTGACTGTGGAGGCACCATCGGGACCGATGGACAGGTAGGAAAACCAGCTGGTTTTGTTCAGGGATCCAGATGTGGACTAAATCCCAACTCCGGTCTTCCGTCTTGGTGGTGAAGGTCATTAGGCACAGGAGGGAACTGGCATGCGTGGTATGAAAAGTCATGTTTATTTCTGGAAGAAGGTGTCAAAATTTAGACACATTTTTTTAGCAGTGGGCCCACAACATCTTTGTATTGAAAGGTCACTGTATAATTGTTGCCGTAAACTCCAAATCTACTCTGATATTATAAAAATCTAAATACTAATTTTTCTTCAAAGTATACATTATCATTTATTGTGTATATGTACAGATGTCTACTATGTGTCATAAACTATCTAAAGTGAGGATTTACAATCCTTAGAGCCAGACCAATTTTTCTCCCTCCTTTTCTTATACTTCCACCTTCTATCTTTCTCTCCTTTTATCCCCTTTTCTCCTCCCTAGTTTCTTCCCCATTCCCTCCCAGTATGCTTCATTTCTCCATCACTAACATAGTCAAAAGTATTTTCATTAAAAGCTTATTGTTATTTCCTCTCTAGAGTTACTGACTCCTCTTCATACTACACAGACATTTACATATAAAATACACAGCACACACATACACACACAAAATCCCCACCCCTGTTATCATCAACAAAGTTGTCAAAATGATAAGGAGGCAAGGTCTCCATTAGCAGTTATGATAGAGAATCTAAAATATGTTGGGTGTAGTTGAGAAGTGTAATGACTGTTTGAACTAAAAGCCATGCTCTGTCCTACCTGGACTAAACAAAGAGTTCCTATAGGTTGGCTTACACATTAGAGTGTTGAATGGTACCCAGATATATCAGGTCTTTCAGGATTTAACCAGGGTGAGGCCGATTTTGTCAGTGCTATATCCCTGTGGTGGTAGAGTATAAAACAAGTGGTAGCATAAGAACGGGAGATAATAACTGAGTATCAGTTTAACCCCATGGCAGAAGTGTGAAACCTGACACGTTCAGCTGATGCTGATGCAGAATGGGCAGCCATTCATTCCGTCTGGGGACTACTGGACTCCAAGGGAATGAGACATTATCTCCGTCTCCTCTAAAAGCAGCAAAATACTCAGCAATTTGCACGGATTAGTAAAAATCCCCAAACAGCAATAGGAAGACAGTGTGGAATGGTGGGAAGGACTTGAGCATTAGAATCCAGCAAATGCAGACCTAAATTTGGATCCCAGGACCCTGAGATCATGACCGGAGCTGAAGGCAGACGCTTAACTGACTGAGCCGCCCAGGCGTCTCGGTTCTAGTTCTTTCTTATCATTCACTTTGTACCATGGGGCTTTTCTGTGGCTCTCATCTAGTCTCTAGTCTGTTTTCGCCCTCGAAAATGTTTTCCATCTTCTCTGCAAAATGGTAGCACTTTCTGATCTTTTATATCTGCAAGCTAGACAGGCTTGTCTAATGAAAACCCTGCACTTGCCCTCGGAAGTCCTATCCTATTACATCTGCTCCCTCCCCCAGTGTCTTAAGGGCATTTTGAATACAAATCCTGTCCCTCTAATGTGTGCATCTCTCTGACCAAAATTACCATAAAATGCTCAGCTGAACTGACGATACTTTGCTGCGTGTGTATTTTCTTAAATTACTGGTCCTCTATTTAATTGTTTAACTTGAGTACTTTTCCTTCCCATTACCGCTGCCAGCTCAGAAAGTCACTGCCCTTCTTCTGTGGCTGAGCTGCCAGGGGCTCTGCTCCATTAGGTGAAAACGAGCAACTGCAGGTTTTTCAGTTAAGATTTACCCGCCTGAAAGGCTCCTGTTACTATAACACTAGGAATATAAGCGTTATCCCGTCCAGTTCTTAATGAATTTGTGTTACCTTCTTGATTTTTTGCTTTTGCATTGTTGCAAATAAATTTAATGGCATCGCCGCGATGATCAACATACATAGAGATGACCAGATTCAGTGCAAATCATTGACATTTCAGGAGCTTGTTATAAAATTTTAAAAGCCTCAGTGAACTCAACATTAATACAGTCTAATAAGACGTGTTGCTCACGCTTAGAGTGGAGCTCAGAGATGGTCATCTCCTTTTCCCCTACTTGGTTCCTTGGGCTTAAACTTTTACTTCTCCCCTAGCTCTTGATATTCTCCTAAATCCCCACCTCCCCCGAACACACACATTACTTAAATATAGGCGAGGAGGAAGAAAATATAAATTAAAGTGGAAGAAATATAATTCTTTCAGATATTTCCTTAATGCTCCCCATTAGTTTTGGATTCTAGAGAAGAAGAGAAAATACCTAATTGTACCAATGATAAGAATAATGATTATAATAGTAATAGCTAACAATTATTTAATGTTGTACTGTGTGCCCTCCATTTTTCTAAATACTTTACATATTTCTACAAATTCTGTCCTCACAAGAACATTATGAAATAACTATGAGTTCCCCCCCCTCCCTTTTAGAGATGAGGAGACTGAAGCAAAGAGAATTCAAATAATGTGCCCAAATTCAATTCGCTTGTAAGGCTGTGCTCTTCACCACATCATGATTCTTATCTGGATATTTAATTGAGTGAATTAAATGTCATTTGATTGGGTGAAGGTGAGGAATGGATTTGGTCACAGATACAACTGCAGGAAAGGCAAATGAACTTGTCTGTTGTTCTCGGGACAGTAATGCTGCCCAATGGGTCATGAACATGTCTGCCAGATTACACCTACACCCTTGCTGATAAAATTATGCAAGTCTGTGCCTTCATGACAGGGGTCCACAGACTCAGCTGAGTACCAGCAGATCAGATCGAAATGAAAACATATTTCATGAGGCTACACCTGAAGGAAAACAAACTGAATACTTGAACAGATTCTGCTTTAGGGTTTCGTAAGAGTTTTGCAAACTTTCATATTTCCGAATTTAGGATGGGAAAATGGGGAAAAGTAAAGGTAAACCATCAATCTGGGCTAACTGTCTTCATGGCAGCTTTGTGGTTGGGTTGCCCACTCTGCTGGACCACAGATCCTGAAGGAAGCCAGTGCTGCCCCCAGTCTGTTTCTCCTCTGCCAAGAACGCACGCTCCCAGCCAAGTATTTAATAGATGTGACTTTCTCTCTTCTAGTCCTTTTCTAGACTTGGCACCTTAGATCAAGACGATCACTGTGCAAACAAATTTTACTCACTGGTAATTGCTTCCCCCAGGAACAACATGATGAACTGACTTTTTTTTCTTTATGTGTTCTTAGTGGCTAAAGCTACTTCTACAAAACATTGGCAAGTCCCTGCTTTTCTCTTTGTGATTGAAAAGCTGTTTCTAACACCCTCTGAGAAAGATTCTCTACCTTCCCTAACCTCCGACATTCAGATTATTTAACTTATAAGACAGAGTTGCTAAACTGAAGGAATCATCTGAAATATCCAAGATAGTTCTCTATTCATAGCAAATGAAGTTTTATTAAGTTTTATGCAGTTTGACTACAGCAGCTTTAGCTGATATCAAGAGTATTTCTGCTTTTCTCACTGTATTCATTACACCTTCGTTCATTAAAGAAATATGAACTAAACACCTACTCTGTGCCAGGGACTATCCGAGGCCCCTGGTGAGGACACCAGACACAGAGCTTACACTCCCAACAAAGTAGAGCTCTAAGAGTCAATCCTCATTCTTATAAAAATTAAGAATTTTATTTGCCGAGAAAAAGAAACATGGACTTTTCTGATCTTCAATGCTGACATCATTTTTAATAGTTTCTAAAATATAAAAGCAGATGAATAGCAGGAAAAGAAAAATAGAGATAAATTAAAAAATGATACTGCTCCATTGTTTTGTGTGACAAAACAGTGTTCTGTAAATAAAAATTTAAATTGTTTTGGTGTACAGTAAAAAGCACTTGTGCTGCAAAATAATCATTAAAGTTAAACCAAGTTTTTTAAAACTATTGGATATTTTTGGTGGCGACTTTTCTCTTGAAAACAACTTCTTATACAAATGAACGCCCTCAATTCATTCCACTTTTCAGGAGCCTGGCTATTGGTCTTGTGAGGTCAGAATCTTAGCTCTTACCTTGTTGGGTAAACACCAACTGATAACATCCTTCAAGGAGAATAAATAAGCTACAGAAATGCAACCCCAAATAAGTTTGCACTGAAAACATCAAATTGTAATTTACTTATGAGAAGACATGATTTTCCATGATTTTGGAAAAGTAAACGTGTTTTTTCCTAGTTGCTTGGTTTGAGGAATAATTTTTCTTCCTTGTTACTGTGTGTTGGGATTTAGAAACATGGAACTTTAGGGCATGAATATACTTTAGAAGTCATCTCTTTCCATCCCAGTATTTTACGCTTAGTACTTGGATTTACTCTTTTACACATGTATGTTACTCTAAATCTTTTTACAAGAAATAAGAAGAATCCAAAATGTGTAGCTTACCTGGAGCATGTTACTTCTTAGTTTGTCAACTTTGTCAATTATTTTTTTTTAATAATGTGGTTTCTTTGTTTTTTTTTTTTAAGATTCTATTTATTTATTTGAGACAGAAGAGAGAGAGCACAAGTGGGGAGGAGAGGCAGATGGAGAGGAAGAAGAGACTCCCTGCTGAGCAGGGAGCCTGACACAGGGCTTGATCCTAGGACATCCCAGGACCCTGAGATCATGACCTGAGCTGAAGACAGATACTTAACTGACTGAGCCACCCAAGCTCCCTGGTTTCTTTGTTTTTTAAGTAATGATAGCACAGTGGAAAGATGGGGAACTAAAAAAATGTAAAAAAAAAAAAAAAATCTTATTCCACTATAACTGTGCACATACAGATTTTTTAGTGTTTTCCAATGTATATACACATTTTTTAATAGTAGCAGTGTAATGTTATTTATACCATCTTGTATACTGCTTTTTAACTTAACATTGTGAGCATTTTCTCATGACGAAGAAAATTCTTTAGATACATGACTTTTGATGGCTACATAATATTTTACCTTGTGTGTCATCATAACTTATTTAGCCATTCTTCTATTGTTGGTCATTTAGATAATTTCTAATTCTATTATTGTAAATATCCCATAGAGTTGTCCTTAATACTAAAGAATTTGTGGACCAGTATCGACCCTACCTCATTCCAGGGTCTCCCTTGTGCATCTCTGATCCCACAGGCCTTTAGAAAGGCTTGTAATTGGACAGAAGCCAAGGTCTCTTTCTTCCAAGTGTTCCTGGATGCGTAGACTGCTATTACTGCGAATCCCTTGCCTAAGGATTCTAACTTGTTAAAACAATGTTCTCCACTGAGTAGCTAAGTCCATGCTTTACTGAGACTTCAAGCTATTGAGATTTATGAGCCTTCTTTACACATTCACAAACACCACCATCTTGATGATGTAGACATATTTCTGGAAACAAGAGGAGCAACAGAAATTTCAATCAGTGGGAAATCCACACCAGTGGTAGCCCTCAGATAATATTTTAACAGCTCTAGTCCAATTTTCAATCTTTGAAGTGAGCACAAACCACATATCCCACATAAAGGAGGGTAGATATTGGATTATAACATATTTTAAAATGATTACTATTTTCAACCTGTGTGGTCCAATTAAAGACCTTGGGTAGAAGAGTCTAATCAGTGCTGCCCAATATGGTAAGCACTAGCCATGTGTGGTTATTGAGCATTCAAAATTGAGATGTGTTGTTCCTGTAAAATACAAACCAGATTTCAAAGACTTAGTAGCAAAAAAAAAGTCTCAAAATTTACTTTATACTGACTGCATATTAAAATGTAATATGTTTGATATATTGGATTAAGTATTCTTAAAATTAGTTTCACATGTTTCTCTTTACTTTTTGAAGTATGGCTGCTAGAAAAATTTTAAATTACATGTGTGGCTCACATTATATTTTCACTGAATAGTTCTGGTCTACATACTTGGGTGTTAGCACTGATTGTACTGAATAATCTTGGGCAAGCTAATTGACTTCTTCACGGCTTAAGTTCAACACACGTAGAATATGGCCTTGCTCAAATGAAAGTTGCAAAGGAACAAAGTAAATCTAGGTAGTTTTCATTAGTGCATGTGTATACTGCCAACTCCTATGAGAAACAGTGCATATATATACTGCCTATTTCAATAAAGCAATATGTAATTTGGATAGCTTAAGCTGGATGCCCAAGTGAGTGAAGAATTCACTCCACTGGGATTTATCTCAACGCTAGTCCCCACCTTAGGCAATATTCCGTGTATAATTTCTCTTTTAGCATATTCATTTTCCTCCTTATTCTTCCCTTCTCCTACTATCTGACACAGCCCAGCAGAATTGCTTTTGTGTCTTCAGCTGCCAGTACCTCCCCAAATATATACTTGTTGCCCGTTACTAGCCACTTAGTACCAACAGTAGTAGTAGTAGAACTTTATACCGGTGTTACCTTTGCCAGAAAACTTGCATTTTATGCTTTCCCTTTAAATTTGGAATTTAAAGGCTCACTTGGTTTTGTTGAAGACACTTCAAATGTCTGTAAGGACATGTAAACTCCTGTGTCATGTTATGGTTGCTTTAAGAGCAGTGTACCAGATTTAACGTCTATTTCTTTTAGTATAAACAAATCCCTTAAAAAGTCCTGTGATTCAGGCTGAAAGAAAATTAAGTGCTCATTAAGATGATATCCAGAAGTTAGATTGATGGCACTGCATTCTTCAATTTTACAAGAATGAACAGGTAGGCGACCTGGATGATTGATACTGTTTCATTGGCCCCAGTTACTCTAGACAGAAGTTCCAAGCAGACAAAGAAGGCCTGGCCATGGTGAACAAGAAAATGCAATAAGATACTGATTCCATGTCCGGAAATGGTCAAGCTCTAGGTTGCCACAAGAATCAAACGAAAGAAAATAAAAATTAGTCAGGGAGCTTTGTGCCAGGTAGCTCATTCATAAGAAGTGAACATTAATAGTTCTGTCCAAAATAGCACACTCAGGAACATTTGATAGATAGAGTATAATGTTGGCAAAAATCATCAGCACCTAGACAGTTTAATTGGAAAGTCATTCCTAAAGCCTAATTTTTAAAAGATGATGGTTTATTAAAATCACAGGATGAAATATTAATCTTAATTTCCAGTGGCGTATACATTGACTTGATCACTCTTCTTCACACTATTAAAATGGCACTACAAGATCAAGTTCTCACTGAGTGCAATAATATTGACCCTTAACAAATATTATCTCGAAGAACTTTGGTTCCAAGGCCCCTCTTCTGCTGGCTGTGTTAGCAGATGATGAGGAGTGCTAGTTACTACACAGCTAGGAATTAAATAATTTGCTTGGATGATGGTTTTCTTTTTATACATTTTAGTTGGCGATTCAGGTCATCATTTTTTTGTGATTTAAGGATTAAGGATTTTTATACATTTTAGATTTTTTTACTCTATGACAAAGTGATACATTATTGTTATCATTCTTTATATTATTCACTAACGCATGTGTATGATCCCTATTGCCAGCTCAGTGTGGAAAGAGAATTAGAATGGTATTAGAAAGCCCAACTGGAACTTCTAATGAGTATGATCTGACCTAAGTTCATCTCCTCTTGTGTAGAAGATAGTTATATTTGCCCAGCTCTTCTGCAGAGCTATTTTGAGAATTAAGTATGATAACGTTGGTTAGGTGATCCTAAGACTGCCCTCAGTTTTGTTTGGAATGTGATGAGGTGTGATAGAGTAGAAAAGCACAGGCCAAAGGCTGGGTTCTAATATTGGCAGGGCCATTCAGAAAGCTTAAAGAATTCTGGGAGAAATTTGCTTTATTTCTTTGAACCTTAATTTTCCTCTTTTTCCTTTTCTTTGCATCATCTCTCCATCCATCCATCTACCCATCCATCCATCCATCCATCCATCCACACATACAACCATCCATCCATCCACACATACAACCATCCACACATACATATAAATATAATTATGGGGGAGAGTAAAAATATTAAATAGCTTTTATTGTGAACATAGGGGCTCAATAAATGAATATTAGTTTATCCTCCACTATTCCTAACTCTCCTACAAAATACCTGATTAAGAAAAGTATAAAATTCAAAGCAAGTCACTTCATTTCAACTAAAAATTAATTTTGCGACATATTAAGTATTACATGTCATTACTCAACATGTTTGCTTCTAGATCTTTCTTTCTTCTATATTCCTTTATGTAATAATTTAAAAGTACCTTATAGCAGTGTTATTCATAATAGCTCAGGACAGAAAGTAACCCAAATGTCCATCAACTGACGAACAGATAAATATGTGTTGCATATGCATGCCATGGGATGTTATTCAGAAATAAAAGTATTGAAATGTGCAGCAACACGGAAGCACCTTGAAAACATAAGTGAAAGAAGCCTGTCACAAAAGACCACATACTGTATGACTCCATATATATGGAATGTCCAGAACTGGCAAATACATGGAGACAGAATATAGGCTAGTGGCTACCAGGGGAAGGGAGGAAGAAGGAATGAAGGCATGATTTCTAATGGGTTTGGAATGTCCTTTGGAGGTGATGAAAGTGTCCTAAAATTGATTGTGGTCAAAGTTACACCTCTCCCTGAATACATTAAATACTGTTGGTTTGTCCACTTTAATCAACTGAATTATATGGTATGTGAATTATATCTTAATAAAGCTGTTATGAAACAAAAAGGACTGTGTAGGTATAATATGCTCAAAACAATGCCGTTTCCTTTCACGATTGCTGCCGCGTATCCTTTGTTGCAAAGGAAGGTAATGGTAACGACTAGTTAATTCTCCAAAATTAAGTGAGGGGGCAATAATATAAATGCTGTCACTTCCTTTCCTTAACGGCCACTCAAAATCTCTAGTTGAGTGAAAGGAGAAAGTGGCTTGTACAAAGTTAGGCTCCTCTAGTTAACACTGAATCATGTTGACAGATAATTTTATTGTTTTAGGTCTTAAATCTAGTGCAGTCCTATGTGACCCTTCGAGTGCCTCTGTATGTTTCCTACGTGTTCCATTCCCCGGTTGGGGTAGGAGGCTGGCAACATTTTGACTTGAAGTCGGAGCTCCGCCTGACTTTCGTGTATGACACTGCCATCTTGTGGAATGATGGAATCGGCAGCCCACCAGAAGCCGAACTCCAAGGTGGGTTAATAATTCGGATGAGCTTCCTCATCTATCTGAATTACTTGGGATTTTTTTTTTACTGTAGCTAAAAATAATAGAAGCGACTTTCAGTAGATTTTATTTTTATAATCAGTATTTTAAAACTGTTTCATTTTGTCATGGAAGAACTAACAAAACCATATCAGCGCCTCAAACTGTGCATAACATGTGACTGTTAAATATACTGTATACATTTCATGGGTATTTAACCCTTACAGTCCATTTTAGGCGATTCATCATGTATGCGTTACGCAACACAGTGCATGCGTTTCCTAGATTCTAGAAAACCTATAGAGGCAGTTCCAACTGAAAATAAGAAATGAACCCAAGAGAAAAAATTATGGGTTTTTTTGTTTCTGAAAATGAGATAGATCCTGGATTCTAGTTCTGGCTTCCACCACTAACTAGCTGTGTGATCTTGAACAGACTACTTAACCTTTGTGGCACTCAGTTTCTTCTCAAAGGTAGAACAGACTTCTAATATTCTTTTTATTGTAAAATTCTATTGTTCTGCGATATTTTAGCAGAATGTCTTGGAACAGTGGTGGTAAGTACAGCTAACTGCTGTGCCCATAAGCATGTGCCAAACTTTGTTTCAATCTCCGTATCAGAATAATAATTCAAAGTCCACAGGCATAAAGCTAATTTACCTATCGGTACAATGAATACTGTTTCTTTTCAGGCACATGCTACTGTTTGGGTTCCATGCCTATCTGAGCATCGTGCCTGCATTCCTTTTTATGAGCCAGAGAGGGAAAGTACTAGGGACAGTGCACCAAATTTGCTATCTTACACAGATTAAGATCGCCTTAAAGCTATGTGAAAGGCAATATGATCACCCTGAGTGATCATCCCAGATTATTTTATATTTCAATGTTTTAGTTACATATCTTGCCTTAGAAAATACATATTTAAGGAAATTTTAATGTGAATCCAGTTGTGGTTCTCAAGTTCTACATAAGGATCTCATGGTTCCTTCTTATCTCTGGAACCAACTTTGGTCAAACTGCTAAAAGTTTTGGAAAACCTCCAGAGTTTGTAGTAAGTCTATAAAATTTGGAATCATTCTGGAGAACACAAACCCACTTCCACGCTCAAATCTTTAAAACTTGACAATTTTACTGTGTCTCTCCCAATTTACAGCTTCATTTATGTAGACTAATGCTTTTAGGGGAAAAAGAAATCTTGGCCTATTGTACTCAATCTGTCTATTTCTCTTTCATATTGACTTCACTCGTGTTACCTGATTCTATTTTGCCTCCCTTCTTGACACCTTTTCTTGTTAGAAAACAGAGCAAAACAAACAAACAAAACACTTCTGCTTCTCTTATCACTCAGAATTCTTCTGATAACAGCTTTTGGCTAGAATGCTTAAAGATGAGAGTATCCGAATTCAAATTTGGAAGAAATCCTGCACGTAAGGAGTCCCTGGTCACCAATATTTCCACTCTTGTTCATTATCCCACGTAGGTTCTCTCTACCCAACAAGCATGCGCATCGGTGAAGAGGGGCGGTTGGTGGTGAACTTCAAGACAGAAGCTCAGTTCCACGGTTTGTTCGTGCTGTCCCATCCCGGTAAGCCCTGTTATCCACCAGGAGCCACTCCCTGCACCACAGGACACAGATTTCCCATACCCCACGCTGCCCGAGGAGCTTTGAAACCCTTAACTTCAAGTGAATTGTCCACGTGACTTATCCGCAGGAGGGCTTGATAATCGTTCAGCCACATCTCAGAAGCTACAAAATCGTCGTTACCAATGCAGACTTCTAGAGAAAATACAAAATGATGAAAATAAATTTAAACAAAAACTCTACTGAGTTCATTTTAAGTGGTGTTTTCTTTAGATAAAGAGCATAGCAACCACAATCCCTTTCTCTACCTCCATTTTTGTTGCATAAAAAGTTGAATTTTAAGTCGTTTGTTCAGCAAGCACTTCTCTGTTCGCAACTCTTTTCTGGATACTGTAAGAAACCTTTATAATAGAGCCAGAAGTGGTACTGCACTATGATACTTATATTTCAGACGTGTTAACTAATTATCTTTAATAAAGATTGGCTGTGTCATTTTACTATGAGGCGCTGTGCTTTGAATACCAATAAGGAAGCAGTCACTCAAGTCCAGTGTCCAGGCTTTTTTAAATATAAAGGATATTTCATCAGAAATAGTTTTTTATTTGACTCTCCATATCACTAAATTGGTTTTGCATTATTTTGCCCATTTGCCACCTATTGTCAGATTGGGCGGGGAACATAGTTCACTTGCTGTCTTCTCCCGCCTTCCTTTTTCTGAGTTTGCGCCCCAAACAAGGAGAGAATAGGGCCAAAATTCAGAAGAGAAAGAGGGTTCATTGTATTTTTATGAGGCTGAGCTACAAGAACTGCCGACCCAAAAAGAATCATTTTGCTTTATAGTACTTGACAGTTCTGGAAAATAAGGATTTCTTGGTCTTTAAAGGTCCTTTGCACATGTCTACCTTTCTAATAAACTGAATCTTTGTTTAGACGCAATTGCAGGCAATCTAATTAAAATTAGATTCCATTTATAAATTGGTTTTGCCCAGCTCTGTGGATGCTAAGAGACTAAAGCTCAGCTCATAGCTTCGGCGCACAATAAATGCATTCACATCAGCTTTTATTACACTGCTGTGCCTTCCCTGGAAAGTAGCCCTGAACTATTTGAGCATTTCTACACAATTATCTTTTCACAGAATCATAGAGTGGAAAAAGCACTGAATTAGGAATCAGAAGGCAAACATCCTAGCTGTGTGATCTTGGGAGAGTCACTATAATCAGTCTCAGCCCACATTCTCTGGGAGGGGTGCGTGTGGGGGGGGAATGAGGCTAATTATACCAACACTGGGGCTTTGAAGGCTTAGTATTAAGAATAAAAGCAAGCAATGTACAGTCAGGTGCTTTGAAAATTCTAAGCTGTCATGCACTCTTAAAACCGCTCTCCCATTATTCTTATCGGCACTTTTCTAGCATCCTTCACGAGCTCAATGATCGTGTCAGCTGATCACCCAGGCCTGACCTTCTCCCTGCGCCTCATAAGGAGTGAGCCGACCTATAACCAGCCGGTGCAGCAATGGAGCTTTGTGTCTAACTTTGCAGTAAGTGACTCGGGCTCTTAATTTTCCTTTTCCGTGGCCTGGGACAACACCTCAGATTCTTACATGAAAAACATGAATGTCCTCCCTTCTCCTTAAAGGTACGTGACTATTCGGGGACTTACACAGTGAAACTCCTGCCTTGCACCACTCCATCGCATCAAGAGTACCGCCTGCCAGTCACCTGCAACCCCCGGGAGCCTGTCACCTTTGACCTCGACATACGGTTCCAACAGGTGCATCTCTTGCAGTTATTTTCCCCGGACTTCTCCAATTCCACTTTATTAAGGTCGTGGCTTACTTGTATCAGAAAAAAAGAAAGAAAGAAAAGGAAGGAAGGAAGGAAGGAAGGAAGGAAGGAAGGAAGGAAGGAAGGAAGGAAGGAAGGAAGGAAGGAAGGAAGGAAGGAAGGAAGGAAGGAAGGAAGGAAGGAAGGAAGGAAGGAAGGAAGGAAGGAAGGAAGGAAGGAAGGAAGGAAGGAAGGAAGGAAGGAAGGAAGGAAGGAAGGGAGAAATTAATTCACACCATGACTTAAATTCTCGCATGCTGAGAAAAAAGGAAGTCAGACAGGAGGGAAGCAAGAGAAGAAGGAAGGAGGAAAGAACTGCCCTTTATCTGTCGTTGGTTCAGGATATAAAATCCAGAGTTTAAGAGTACACAAGGGTTGTTTTTTTTCTTACGTGATCGTGTCTCCTCCTGGAGTGTGCTGCCTTGGAGATTTGAGGATTTTTCCCTAGAGTTCTTCTTCCCTAGAGTTCTTCTAGAGTTCCCTAGAGTTCTTCTCGTTCTTGATCTTCAAGGAAAATAGATATCCTGTAGTTCTTGCCATCTCAAAGTACCTAATTGCCATTATATAGTAAAAGAAACATGATGGCACTTTTTGTCCAAGGACGAAGACTAAGTGTTGGCTTTGCACTGAGCGTGATATGTATAAGTCCCATAAAACACCCTGTGAAACCAAAAGAAAAGAGCTCAAGTAATGCTGTTTAGTCCCAATCAAAACATTTCACCTCGCCAGTTTTGCCTTATCGCGAAGGATAAGACCAGTGTTACAATTCCCTACATTAGTTTGGTTGGATGTCAAAATTGCAGTGCAGTCTTCAGGAATCTACACGTCCGTGGACAGCACACGTGTGTGTCCGTGAATAATGTATTTGTGCACCACGAGAGCAATCGAAAAACCATAAAAGGGCTTTTACACTTGGTTTTAGGTCAGCGATCCGGTGGCAGCTGAGTTCAGCTTGAACACCCAAATGTACCTCCTCTCCAAGAAGAGTCTCTGGTTGTCTGACGGATCGATGGGATTTGGGCAAGAAAGTGATGTTGCCTTTGCAGAAGGTATTCGTTTCACAAATGAGACATCTGCTCTGTTTGCCATGGCATCTGCTCTGCTTTGCTTTATTGGGATCATGTTGGAGAGGGGAAATTATCACGTCTGGTATGCTTTTGAGAATATTACTGGGTCTTTGCCACTTTGGCAGGGATGGCATAGGGCCACTGAAATTGGATATATGTTACTGGATGGTTTTTCTTCTGAGGAAATTAATCTCTATTTCACTTACCTAAGTGACTTTGGGAACAAATCTAGGTTTCTTTCTTGAATCTTCTTTCAAGGCGCATAGACTCAAATTCTGCAGCTACTTGAGGCTGTAAATGCCTCCTGCGTGAGAGTTATATCTGTCCTGCTCAGTGGCGTGTTCCTAGTAAAATGCCTAACATGCATGGTGGGAGTTCAGTAATAGTTGTGAAATAGATGATTGACTACCAGGGGATTTCTGCAAACTCTCCTTCAAAATCAAATAAAGCCAAGTCAGCTTTTTATCAATATTTTCTTTTTTATATACTTTATTAGTCTGCACCCTGCCAAGTAACTTATTTATATGAAGCGGACTTTAAACCACAGTGGAATTATGAATATTAAATTATAGGCCAAGCCTTGACTGAGCATGTGAGGGTCAATAAATCTGCAGTCATTTGTGGTCCAGTCCCCAAAAGTGGTCTCACCTGAGGCCTGGGAGTGGGTGACATCCTGAAGGTCTTCCAACATTTGATGGCAGATTAGGAAAAGAAGGAAATACTCCCTAGGGGCATCATTGTCACCATGGTATGCCGTGTCACGTGGACGCGCCTTACCGTGTAACAGAAATGACCCTTCCACATCTCTGTTTCAGGTGACATCATTTATGGGCGTGTCATGGTAGATCCTGTCCAGAATCTGGGTGACTCCTTTTACTGCAGCATTGAGAAGGTTTTCCTGTGCACTGGAGCTGACGGCTATGTTCCCAAATACAGTCCCACAAATGCAGAATACGGCTGCTTAGCTGACTCTCCTTCACTCTTATACAGATTTAAAATTGTGGTAAGTGCTTTGACCCAAACACTGAATTAGACAGATGATCAAAGTTCAATGTTTTTGTCTGGTATTTAAAAACAATAGCATCTTTTCAAATGAAACGAAATGGTGACATTTTATGGTAATCTGTACTTGCACAAACCTAAAGAAACCATTCTGTACTTGCAAAAATTGGCATTATCTACAGGACTCCTCATTTTCTTTTATTGCTTAAAGGACAAAGCTCAGCCAGAGACACAAGCCACCAGTTTTGGAAATGTCCTATTTAATGCCAAGCTAGCAGCAGATGACCCTGAAGCTATTCTCTTAGTGAATCAGCCTGGATCCGATGGCTTTAAAGTCGACTCAACACCACTCTTTCAGGTGGGCCAGTAATAAGCTACTTACACTAGCTCTGTGAGCATATGCAAATTACTTAATAGTGGGATGATCCAGTGTCTTCTATTAAAGGGCAGTGATTGTAATATTGCGTAAGTAATAGTAACACTGAATAAGGTAATGTAGGTAAACAACACAGGACCATAGTGACCACGTGGTGAGCATTCTGTAAAACCTAGCTATTACTATTTTTATTAGTGCATTCATGTTATTTTAAGTCTACGGGTAATGAAGATCCTTATTCAGCCCAAAATATAAATCTAAGTCTGATGTTTCGAAACCCTGCTTTTCTTATTCAAACTTCCTTCCTGTTGACTTTTCATGACCATCTTTATTAGAGTGATCTTGTATGAACTGCTGGATTCAGAAAAAGAAGCAGGCACAGCTCATAAATCTCCACTGTCAAAGACTTTATAAATCAAGACAGAATATCCTAACCGAATGACAGACGGTAGAAGGAGACACAGGCGACCATAACCCTGAGCAGACAAATGAGACAAGATTCAGAGATGTGTTCCCACTGTGAATCCTTGGGGGAGCAAGTACACCTTTTAGGAAATTTCCTGAAAATTGTCCACACAGGATGGGCTGCAGACACGATACCTGTATTCATCCTAAAGAAGGAATCTTAAGGAAGCATATTTGTTACTCTGAATAATTTTTTAAAATTATTTTCGCTGTTAATTCTCAAAGCATTAGACCCTTCTAAATCCTGAAGGCTTCAGAGAGCCATCAGAAATTCCCTTCTTTTCAGAGGCCCTAGAAAAAGCAGAAAAACGGACCCCTTCTATGGTCTTATATGTAACTATGCAGCCAGACGTACTGAAAGAGAGTCCTGAGGGTCAGAAGATCTGAGTTCTAGTCTTGCCTCGGCCACAAGCTAGTTGAGTGACATTGGCAAGTTACGTAACCGCTGTGCCTCCCTCTTTACCCTTTTTTAGATGAATAATTTAAAACCGTGTGACAGCTCTGACATTCTGTGGCAAGTCACAGACTACCAAATATTTACCGGCACACACTCCCTCAAGAGCCGCACAAAATATTTTGGAGTGCTTTGCACAAAGCCTTGCACGTAGTACCCACGCAAAAATATGAAGTGTATCGATTCTGCAGACTAAAGTAAATTATCAGTTATTGTCTCTGCCACTAATTTCTCTTGCAGGAATCGTGAATTAGGTCGATGTGGTATTTAATTTTCTAACAGAGTTGCGCTTCCTAGGTCGCCCTGGGCCGGGAATGGTACATACACACGATCTACACGGTAAGATCGAAAGACAACGCCAATCGAGGCATTGGTAAAAGAAGCACCGAGTACCAGCACCACTCCTTAGTGAGTCCGGGGAAGCCCCCGGCGATGAGCCAGGGCCGGAAGAAGAGGGAGATCAGGAGCCCACCCCCGCTGGCCTGGGAAATAGGTGCTAACAACAACCGGGGAACAAACATCCAGCACATTGCCCTGCAGCGCCCCAACAGGAAGCAGAGCCCCCAGGGGCGAGTGCCTCCCGACGGCGTCCTCCCCCGCGAGCTCGACCGGCCCAGCTCCGACGACGTCAGCCTGGTCCCGGTGGTCGGAGGCACCGCGGTGGGCTTACTCGCCGTCTGCCTCGCTGCCATCGCAGTGATGATGTGCAGGAACAAGAAGGGCGCCAGGAGGAAGGGCGCTCTGAAGGGCTCAGGCAGCAGCAAGCCCGTGACGCCCCCGCAGAGCCACCACGGCGACAGCTCAGAGGTTTGAGGGGCGCAGGTGGGATTCAGCCTTTGCCTCAAGTGCCTCGGAAAGACGGGAGGAACCCAAATGCTTCTGTCAACGGCCGAGAATTGGGGACTTCTGTTCCGGAGCTGCTCAGAGGGCCTGACTGTACTCATGAACTTGGATTTGAATTCTGTCTACTCTTTTCATGCATCAGAGAACACATGCAGACCACAGACCAGGCCTTTCCTCTGGCCCAGGAGGCAGCAACAATGTATTCACGTGTACACACAGCCATCAGTGGGCTTCTCACTTTAGGCATTTTTCTCTACACAGTGGAGACAAATCTATTCAAAGGTGCTGCAGACTCTCTCAGAAGTTTAAGAGGAGTCTATTATTGCTATATGAGTATGAATCTTGAAGGTGCAATTATCACATGGTTTACTCATTGTGTAACAGCTTATTACTAGAAAGGTTTTAATGGGCAGTCTGCAAGAATGATAAACACACTGTTTATTATGACAGGTTTTCGAATAGGTGAAGACAGCATGGAATTATGACCAGGGGTGGCTCAACCCATCATTCACCTTTTCTACTACTACGTGGGAGGGAGTGGAAGGAAAGATAGAGGGAGGGGACTCACTAGCTTGGATTTGAATTGTTTCTCATCCTCGTCAGAGCCTCCTTATTTTATTTGCTTATTTAACTTTAAATTAAACCAAAGAATATGTTAAGTCTGGAAGAAATTGTCAAAGAAAGACTTTCCTGTTACATAGTGAGAAATAGTCGAGTTCTTGCATGATAGTGTACCTTATTGGTGCTCAACATTTGTGGGAAATGAGAGGGTTGGTGGCGTTTTGATGATGAAGAAATGCTATAGAGATAGATTCACATTTATAAGACAATGTTCTCTAAGAACTGAGCCTAGATATTTGCAGTATTGAACCCATCAATGATAATGAGAAATATCATTACAGGTGGTGGAGGGAGAAAGTGGTATTTATTAATATCATGTGTTTAACCAAAGTGCCTCTTCTACGTACTTTATGGAATTAAAGAACATTCTGACAGATGATACATGAGGTTAACCCTCAGAGTAGCATAACCACACAACCAATGTCCAGAACTTAAATTGGCCATAGGGCATTTTATTAGCCTTCTAATCAGCCTCTGGTTCTAAAAATGGGAACCTCTGCAACTGTCATTCCAGAGATGGCCTTGGAGGTTGCCATCTTCTTTGATCCAGGAGGAAAGCAGCATTCTTTGACATCTCCAGTTCAGTGAGCTGATGCAGTGAGGTCCCTCTCAGTATCTGAAAAAATAACGTGTAACGCTACTTACAGTGTTAAAAATCAAGAAACTTAGTGAGCTTGCTTGGCAAGGCTCCCGTCGCCTTTCTGAAAAAAATATACTCTCACCAAATGGCAGAAATTTTGGTTGGAAAGCGAAGGAAAATGTCAGTAGTCTAATGACCAATCTTCCAAAAGCTAGTGAATGTATTCCAAGCAAAAATTAGGGTCAGGAGAAAAAGAACTGTATGTTCTTTTTACTTGCGTTCCTAGCCTGGCCACACTGGACATCCTAGTGGAATGGATCTTATCTGGTGTCCGTGGGCACCAGCCATCTCTTTACTGAAAAAAAGGAATCTACACTGGTGCTGAGAGAGAGGTGAAAAGTGTCTAATGCTCGCCTCTCTTCTTTTGGGCAGCTCTGCACTTCACATTCAAAGTCTTTCAAAGAATATGGTAGACTGGAGTCTCCTTTTTGGGGAATTTACAGATATCACCTATAACTCAAAGGTCCCCCAAAGGACTTATATAAAGTACTGTATAGCCCAGGAGTTCATTTGTCAAACATTGATGCTTTCATAATTATCCCCTTTTCTTTTGCTTTGCCTTCTGGCAGATGCTTTGCTACTTTTTCAGCTACCTCATAACTTGTCTAGGAATGAGCATGAGTTAAGTCGCTTCAAATAGTGTGTGGACTTTTCATGACTTAGCACTGGGTTCAACTCACTTAGGCTGTTAGAGCAAGTACTCGCGATTGACTGCATGTTCCTTTAGTAGTTTGGTTGCTTCAGAGCCTGACTCTCGTGCAATCTTGATCATCTCTGTCACTGAATATAGTAATCAGTGAAGCATCATTACAACAAGTCTGTTTGGAGCCTTTGGGCCACACTGATTTTATATCAAATTCCACTCTACAATTAGTTTTTCTAATGAGACTGGCATATATGAATTGGAGGGCTTATAAAATACAGAACATGTCTATCCTTTCCTAACAAAGAAAAGTTTCTTCCTCTCTGCCCATTCCTTCTCTCTTTCTCTCCCTTTCCTTCCTCCCCTTGAAAACAGAGTCTGTAGGAAATAGGCAGATATAGGTTTCTTAAGTATAAAGTGCTTGAATTTCGGCATCATTCTCTTTATCTATTTATTTAATGTGTGATTTTACATACATTAATCATAAAAAAACTCTCTAGTGGAAAAAAGAATCAGGGAAAAATGCTTTATTGTTCAATAAAACAGACGCTTTTCCCTAATATTTTGTTTTTAGACATTTATGCTGGTATTATCAGAACAATTACATAAAATAACTTCCCATAGACAATGGGATGTAAGCTATAATAACTCCTTAGATACCCAGTAGCTTCTGACGCTAATTAAAACTGTATAATTGAAATTGTATTGCAGAGTAAACTCAAAGCACAAAAATATATATGGAGCCTTAGCAGCTCTCCCAGCATATGAACTATGAAACATTACAATACGTAATTACGTTTTAATGATGGTTTTATTTCTTCCAATTCATTCCCTCTGTTAACATTTACTAAATGCTCACCTAGGACTAGCCACTTTGAGAGATTACATAGAAACCAAGATGTCCTGCCTGGTCTTGGGCAGGTTATAATCAAATGTGGCTCTTCCTTTAGACAAGAGTGATTAACGTTTGCATTGGGTTCTGCCCTGGACCAAGAACAAGCCAGGCATGTCTGTGAACCACAACTTAAAACTCTCTCCAGAGCACCGATAGTGGAGTCTACTCATTTTCATCTAAAAGAACCCCACGTTATGGATCATTGTGATCACAGATCTAAGGCAAATTATTTCAAATCAATAATTTAAATGGAAATGCCTTCACAAATCTACACAGAGAGGGTGTATTACAGGGATGTGGGTAGCCTGGCATATTCTTTTCCTCTTAATGGAAGACAGGCCCACTTTATTCCAAGAATGGGATATAGCACATAAATTCTTGTTCCCTTCCATTCACATCCCCAACAGCTCCTGAAGTGCACCCTCCCACAAGCATCCACAGTGTTTGAACAGTATGAGTGAAGGTCAACTAGAATTCCTCTGCCATGCTACTGCATAGCATTTGTGATATGAAGGACCAACTCTAGGCTCAGGATGAAGGGATTTAGTTCTATAAATAGCAGCAAACAACTTCTTTATCAAGTCATCATACCTCTAAGTCTTTTCCAGGGTACCAACTCCACGGTCAACTTTGAAAATGGAAATGGACCTGTGTGAAAATCACGGAGGCTTTCCTCATATAAATCGGTGCTAACGGTTAAAATAGTCCTAGATTGAGAAACGATAAAGTAGCAATAACAGCAAAATGTAATGACATTTAGATTTTTAAAGTTGGAAATTTGATTTCTGCTACTATTTTGAAAATATCTACTTAGTTTTGACTTAGAAACCAATTTAGCCCTTTAAAAGAAAAAGAAAAAAGAATTTTTAAAGATGCAAGTGTTTTACAAATTTGAAATTTACATAATTGTATTCATTTGAAAACAAGGGAGCTATAATTCTTTGAAACTCTTTTGTTTCTTCTAGACAGGAGAGCAATAACAAAAGGAAGAAGACAGGTGTCTTTACTAACCATAGGGCAAATGATCAATAGGGCTTAAGTGTGGAGATTTTCAAGAAGGTCAACAGAATGGTCATTTGTGTAAACATACGGTTGTGGGATTTTCTTTGACATTATAATGTTCAAAGGTTACTATGTTTCCTTAAGATTTTTCTTAGAACTGATTCCAGTGTTGCCTGGTAATGACATAAAAATTTTCAGAAAATACTATCAATAGGTTCAAAGTTTCCCTCACTGTCTATTTCTCCTTGTTGCCATATCCTTTGACGTTAAAAATGAAAGACTGAGATTTTGGTAGGTATTTTGCTTTTAATAAGAGATTCTAAAATAGAAGTGCATGGTATTTTCCTACAGTTTTCCCTGGAAAGATTATACAGAAACTTTATAGATAAAAGAAAGCTCAAGAGAGAACTGAAGTTGATAAAACAAACTATACTAAGGTGAGCCTCTCTCGAATTTAATTTTATCAGGAAAACAAATCAGAGTATTGAATTGGCAGACTTTTAAACAGTTTTGCTGTCTTCCTTATCTTTCAAGTACATTTGTTACCTTTTCCTGATATCTGTTTGTATGTTTTTGTTTTTTTTTTTAGTATTGTGTTTTGCTTAGGAGCAAAAGAAAAAACCAAAACCAAAACCCTGCTGTAGCAATGACGTCTTCTTCTATTTTCCTTCCTTCCTTCCTCCCTCCCTCCCTTTCTTCCTTCCTTGGTTCCTCTCTGGCACAGACTAGGGTTTTTTCTTCCTCTGAAATTTCTTTATCATTCTTCCAGCAATGCTTCCCTTTTAGTTTGGAAACCATTGCCATTTACACTACGTAATTAGCATTCTCATTCATCTGAAAGCTAGTAAGTGAGCCCAGCACTTGGGCAGTGTCCCTTCTTTATCAAATGTTAAGGCTTTTAGATGATGGAGAGAACTCCCTTCAAAAGATCAAAAACATCATACTGAATAATGTGATGACAATCTGTGCTTTGATTTTCTCTCAATGAAGGTTCAACACTGACATTTAGGACACACACACAAAATCCCTTTAAAGGTTTGAGCAAAAATAAAAGGCCAGAGATCACATATATGAAGTTGTTCTGCATGATTGAATACTTTGCAATGAAATAAATGGCAAAATAAAAAAAAACTGTTAAAATGTTAACAGCATTGAAGTGTTTTAAATTGTAATTATTAAATGCACAATGTTCCTTTCACTATGAGCCAGATGTTGCCTACGCTGATTGCATGATTCCTTGAATACTCTAAGTGAATCTCTACTACAGATATTTATTTTTCCAAAGTTTGGATCGTCCCTTCGCATAAGAATTGTCAGTATTGTGCCTTAGAAAAGAAGAAAGAAAAGAGAGAACTGTGAATTTTTAAGAACTAACATTAATAATAAAGAGCATTGTAATACAAATCGCTTAAAATATAGACAAGCAATTACTGGTAAAAATAAAAGATAATCTCTGTAAGGGCCCAAATTAAGCCCATTACAAAAAGAAGTACAAAGCCTAGTCTCTTTCTGTGGTTTCAGGGATTCAAGTTTTTGGCAAGGTATTTTTTAAGCCCATTTGTCTCTAAAAGAAAACTCCAGGCTGGACAAGGAGTTGTGTGTTTGATAATTGTATTAAGTTCCTGCTTCCTTCCCCAAAGCCTTCCAAAACAGTAAATTTATATTTATCTAGCCACTGAGTGACATATCTGTGTGTAATGGAATTATTTGCAGAGCTTAATGGCCTTTGTGATTTTCCCATGGGAATTCTTCAAAAACGAACAGGGTCTAGTTTTTGTTGTTGTTGTTTATTGACTGGGGTACTTCATGTTTGCTGGCTGTTGAAGCTTATCCCTGGGAAACCAATTATGCCAATAATTGGGAGCCATTCAGTCTTCCATCCATGTCTAAAATAATTCTTGCTGCCACTTGGGTTGCGTAAGTACCACTGTTTTCCTTCGAAATATATCACATGTTTAATATAAATAAAGCCCACGTAAATGTAAATATGTTAACGTGGTCGAGTTTTTGTGGTTCCTTCTGCAACTTTGATTTACACTACAATCCAAGAATTCGTGTAGTCTACAATGAGTGTCTGTTATTTTCATTCTGGGTCCGAAGCCTAAGCCCCTGCAGGCTTCCAGAATGGGACCTGTGCTCCCAGGACCTCTCTGATGCTGGTGGCAAAATCTTGTGGCTCCTCGCCAGGATCTACCTGCAGGATCTTAGCGCTTACTGGCCAGTTGTAGCAGGTGCTGACACAGGCCTGCCAGGGGCAATGTATACTTAAAGGAAACCATATATTTAGGTGAGTAGCTCTGTCCCGGGGTGTCTAGACCCTACTAGACCCTACTACAGATATGAATCCTACTAATCAGGATGAATGCACTGATCGGATCCATTGCTGGGGAGCTTCCCTGACAAGGTAGACCAGTCACCTTTAAGCAAACTTCACTCAAGTCAGTAATCATTTGATTTATTATATGGTCAGATTTTTAGTAGGTGGCCACCACTATTTAATACCAGAGGGAAAGGTAAGGACAGCCTCTTATAGCTGTTGAAGGATAATCCCAAGAAAAGGGCCAAATGCACAAGAGAAGGTAGATTGGAGGGTTGGGGGAGGAAATGGCCGTGTTATAGCAGAAATCTGTGATCAGCTACAGAAATGAGGGGCTCGATCCATCTTCATTACAGAAGAAAAGAAAAGAGCCTGTGTGCTAGGAAATTTCCAAGCTGCTACAGAGAAAGCCTGGCCTTCAGGAAGTTAGGGAAAGGGACCAAGGAAGGGAAGATCCAGCCACACCTGGGTATTAACTGGGAGATAAGATCTTCCTGTCATAAAGTCACAGTCACCCCAGAGGCACCCAATTTAAGGGAAAACTCCCCAAATCAGAATGAGTGAAGGTAGACCTGACTAAGGCGGGGCGGTGGTGGGGGGGAAATCATCAGGAACAGAGTTGGGCCCATCTGAGCCCACAAAGTACTGATTCCCCAGCACACACCCAACAGCCAGGCCAGGAAGCTGCTGCAGAGGAAGATTGACAGCAATTTTTGAAAATCCTACTCCTAACAGATTGCAAAGCATTTCAAGATGCTGAGATCTCATCCTAGAAATTTAAATGTGACTAATTGCAAAGTGGTTAAAGGTGGTAGAGAAGGTTATGGGACAGAGTAAGAATATCCAAAGGAAGTTGAGGCAGGTCAAAGATGATGCAGAGTACTCACCAGGGGGAGAACATTTGGAGAAGGGCGTATGCAAAAAGAGGTACAAATATTTCCCCAGGATTTCCTCAGAGTTGAGACCATTCAGAAGACGATGAGTCTGAAACAGGCTGCATTACAACATACGGTGGTTGTGGCCTGACGGTTCGGCAGGAGCCCCATCCCCCTGCACACTTCACCACCACTTGGCTTGAATTCTAAAGAGACCACTAGATCAAGAGGCACTGGTGATACGCAAGTGTCATCAGAGAAGGCCTCGAAGGCAGTGGCCCGATTCAAAGAAGTTTTGTTTATAATTTACAAACATACGATTTTCTGTGGGTATGACCTACACAGTATATTATCTTCAGAGACACTTTATGCACATTAAAACAGGTGCCTGCCCTGAGCTGCCTGGGTGGCTCAGTCGGTTGAGCGTCCGACTCTTGGTTTCAGCTCAGGTCATGATCTCAGAATCATGAGATCGAGCCCCACATCAGGCTTCTCACTCAGCACGGAGTGTGCTGGAAATTCTCTCCCTTGCCCTTTGCACCTCTCCTCATTCTCTCTCTCTCCCTCTCTCTCATTCTCTCTCAAATAAATAAATAAATAAATAAATAAATAAATAAATCTTTAAAACAACAACAGGTGTCTGCTCTGTGTAGGTGAATTAGAGAGAAGTACTTTCTCTAAGGAGATGAGAACCCCAGGTTCATGACTTGGTATTTTTTAAATGTAAATTTTGTTATTATTCAGATATGACAAGGCCAAAGGATCACAAAAACAATTGCCATTGAAAAGAAAGCTTAGTATGCTCACAGATTCCAAAGGGAGCTGACCTATTACACCAGAGGGGCCACACACAAGGATGCGCCAGGGTCAGTCATGAGGCAGAGGGAACAAGAGAAAGTGTGGGCAAGAGACTTTCTTGTAGTTTCCATGGGCAGAAACAGCCAAGGCGGGGTAAACGGGAATGAGGATTAGCCAATCTGAGTAATTTCAATGGGGTCAAGGGCATAGGGCTCTCCCTAGTTGGCTGGTACCTGGCCCTTGGGGGATTGGGCAGTTGGATAGTAGGCCAGAGAGTGGGAGGCAGATAAAGATGGCAGTTGGGGGTAGGGGCTCTGGATTGTTTAGTCTGCCTATGAAAGGCACAAATCTCTAGGAACTGGCTAGCTTGTTTTGAATCGTAGGGGCAGAGTTAAAGTAAACTCCAGAAGAAGAGCTGGGATCTTTTATCTGGAGCCCAGGGTATTTAATTATACCCAAAATCAGAGCAGTGAGAACAAAGACTTTGAAAACCAGAGTCAGGTTTTGTGTAAGGGAAGTCCTGACAGGAAGAGAAAGGAGTAAAAGCCTACCTATTCTAGTATCGAGGGATTGTGGGAAAGACAGGCTGAGAGAGACAGGGAGAGGCTGGGAGGCTGGGAAGCTGATTGGGGGGAGGGGAGGCAGGGATTACAGCAAGAGCAAAGGGGGATCTTGCCCCTTCCCTACCATTTCCCATTTAAGACTTTGGAAAGAGATCACCTCTCCAGGGATCCCTGTTCCAAGGTCAGGCACAGCCAAATACACCTCGGGACCAGGTGCGATACCATTGTATTGGCCCAGCATCTAAAGGGCAATCAAAGCCGGGGACACCTGGGGACTTCGGACACTGCCTGGGCACTCCGATCAATGCCACACCATACCTGCTGCTAAAACAGGAAAAGCACCAGCAGAGGTCATTTGTGCTGGCTTAAATCTTTTTGGGGATTACTGTGATCCAAGCCTGCATCTAAAGAGACCGGATGCTTCCCTCTCTCTAAGAGGCTATTTCCTCTGCCTGGCCCTTCCAGCTACCACCCCCTAAAAGAAAAACAAACCTCACCCTATCACCCTAACTCTGGGAGCTGGAGGGGGGGCAAGTGGGGGTGACGACTGTGTTTTGAATATCGTCTCTAGCAGTCACATTCCAGGAGAGCTGTGACCTTCCCTGATTCTTCTATGCCATTCACCCCCCAAAATACTTCCCTTCAAAGGAGATTTCTTTAGTCAGCCCTTAGTAACTGATGTAATGAATGACCTATTGCAATCCTGAAGAATTAATGAGGCTTAATGCAGGAGGGATGTAGTAATTTGAATCTCAGAGAGCTTTCAAACCACATCTGCACAGGGCACCTGGGTGGCTCAGTCTGTTAAGCATCTGCCTCAGGCTCAGGTCATGATCTCAGGGTCCTGGGATCAGCCCCTTGTTGGCCTGCCTGCTCAGCGGGGAGTCTGCTTTTCCCTCTCCCTCTGCCCCTCCCCCCACTCATGTGCGCTCTCTCTCCCAAATAAATAAATAAAATCTTTAAAAAAAATGGAAAACACACAATTTAAAAACAAACAAACAAGCAAACAAACACATCTGCACAGCCCCAGAGATTCTGAATCAGCTCACACCCCTATTCCCACCCCAGGGGGATGGCCCTAGGGGAATGCCAGTGGGCTGTATGTTTCAAAAAAGAGTTTCCAATGAGTGAGAGAACCATGACCTTCAGGGAGAACCACTGGTTTAGAGTTTGCTGTACATTGACGGGAAGGATTTGCATTTTTAGTGCAATCGTGGAAACCAAAAGAAGTAATAAGTGTGGGTTTCTGGAACAGGGTAGGAAGTGCGCTCACAAAATGTCCCTGTACAAATAGGGCCTACCCCTCAGGTGACCCTCCGTGTCCTGTGGTCAGTCTCTGCACCACTCACTGCTCATCAGATGTACGGTCACTGGCTAAGCGGCTACATGGTGTGACGTCATCGACTCAGATTCTGGCTGGTGTGTGTGAGCTGTGATAGGTTTCCGTTCCCAGTTTTTGTTGAAATGCAAGTATTTAGCTTATAAGGAAAAATATGAACCTCAGTGAGTTAAAAATGAGTGCTAGAGTTATAGAGTCATTAGAATCTACTGAAAAATTTATTAACTGTGAATTGTCCAGAACTCATATCAAGTATGATACGGTTTCATGAAAAAAAGCAGGTTACAAAACCAAAGGCAGGGATGCCTGGGTGGCTCAGTCAATTAAGCGTCTGCCTTTGGCTCAGGTCATGATCCCAGGGTCCTGGGTTCGAGTCCTGCATTGGGCTCCTTGCGCTCCAGGAGCCTGCTTCTCTTTCTGCCTTCCGCTCCCCCTGCTTTTTGCTCACTCACACTTTCCCTCTCTCTCTGACAAATAAATAAATAAAGTCTTTAAAACAAAACAAAAAAAACAAAGGCAGAATGCGATCCCTGTTTTACATTTATATACAACTAATATCTATACATCCTATACAGGATGTGTGTGCGGGGAGCATATGGAGGGGATGTGAGCAGAGCTGGGGGTGTGTGGGGGGGGGAATGTGAGGGTGGGGGATTATATAGGAAGTACATGTGCAGTGTGAAAAGGAGCATGAGACGGGTGGGGAGCGTGTGCACATGTGTGTGCATGCTCTCACAGTCCTGGACACAATGAAAAACTATAGTGGGTCCCCACACTTCCAGAACCTGAAAGGCAAAAATAGAATGGGAGGGCTCTATCCCCGCCCCCTCCCACCTGCCCCAAGTAAACCTCGATGATGTTTAAGAGCAAGGACTTCGGAGTCAGACCTTGTTTTAAATCCTAACCCAAAACTAGCTGCAGGATCTTGGGCAAGTTATTCAACCTCTTGACATCACTTTCTCATCTGCAAAATAAAGATACTTCTTGGCATCCATAAAGGGCTGAGCATGGTGTTAACACATAGCCGATATTCAATAAACGGTAACAAAAAATCCTAGCCCTTTGCTCAAAATAGAACTCAAAAGAAAATTGTA